AAGAAAAAGAAATGTTCGGTTTTTTAAATCTGTTGAGAAAAGGTCGTTAGAACTGACCTAAAGATCTGGTCTCGATATTTTTAAATAATCGAATATTCTTTATCTTTCTAATGACTTGGTAATTTTAAATTAAATCTATTTTGTTTCTTTGAATGTTGCAAATTTGCATGTTTGTCGTTTAAAGGGATCATTAATCAAATTAAATTTGAACTTGTGAAATTCGTCGCAAAGAAATTAATTAATCGACTAGGTACCGATTTAGGGCGTTGTGGGGGTGCTAATCCTTCCCCACACGTAACCGACTCCCGAACTTGGATTTTGGTAACGTAGACCGTAAATTTGTCGTTTTAATTAAAATTAATTTTTATTTAAAATGACAACGTTTTTGGGTGCCCAATCACACCCTAATCAAAGATTGGTGGCGACTCCTCGAACCTACATTTTTATTTATTTAAAAGGAATCCCAAATTTTTCGAAACGAGAGGTTTTCTAAAATTGCATTGTTTTTAATTAAAATTCAATCGTAAAGAGAACAATTAAAGATGACGCGGTTTTCGAAATCTCGCCCCCGCTCCCGGTTAAAAAATCGTTTCGACAATATGACTGTACGTGACCACCGATAAATCAACCAGAAATTAAATATCGTGATTATTTTTGTGCAAGAATCAAAACGACCGCAAAGGTATGTGAAAAACATACCAACAATCATAAGGATCGTGCCATAAGAACAGAAAAAAACGTGTCACAATGAGAGAGATTCTTATTCAAAAATTAAAATAGCTCGTGAAAAAAGAAAATAAAAGACATAATAGAAAAATAAGAGAAAAACGAAGACAAAAAAAAGAAAAAAGAAAAATAGGTTGAAAAAAGGGAGAGGTTGTTAAACATTTTATTTAATTTATCAACTTATTAATTTCGTTTTAATATTATAAAAAGTTATTATGAAAAGATCCTCTCATTCCAGTTTATTCTATTCATAATATCTATATTCAAACATTCTATTTAATTTACGAACATATTAGTTTCGTTTCAATATTATAAAAATTTATTATGAAAATATCATCTCATTCCAGTTTACTCTATTCATAATATCTAATCGAAAAATTTAGTACTTCTTCATACTAATCCATCTAATTATTGATAATTTATTTATGCATTTTTATATAATATTACATTTTTTATATAATATTTTAATATTTTAATAAAATAGTGCACATCTAGTTTATAATTACAAAAGAGATTTTACTAATTGTTTTGGTGATATATTAAAGTGAGTTAAAATTTTAACTCAAGTTAACAATAAATATAAGAGAAAATAACCTCAGTGACAAAAAATATCTTATAATATACGATTTTAACCAATTTTTTTGGATTTGCCAAAATGACCAACTAAATCGCAATGCAATCGATAATTCGCAACGCGATCTCCGGTATCGCAAATCAGTTTCCAGATTCGCAACGCGAACATTGACTATCGCAACGCAAACTTCGACTATCGCAATGCTATTTTCCAAATTCGTTGCGATAGTCCAAGTTCGCGTTGCGATTTATTCCAAATTCGCGTTGCGATAGTCCAAGTTCGTTGCGATAGTCGAAGTTCGCGTTGCGATTTATTCCAAATTCGTTGCGATAGTCGAAGTTCGCTTTGCGATTTATTCCAAGTTCGTTGCGATAGTCGAAGTTCGCGTTGTGATTTATTCCAAGTTCGTTGCGATATTCCAAGTTCGCGTTGCGATTTATTCCAAATTCGTTGCGATAGTCGAAGTTCGCGTTGCGATTTATTTCAAGTTCGTTGCGATAGTCGAAGTTCGCGTTGCGATTTATTCCAAGTTCGTTGCGATAGTCGAAGTTCGCGTTGCGATTTATTCCATGTTCGTTGCGATAGTCCAAAATCGCAACGACTGGTGGTATTGCATTTGTTTCTTAAGAATTTTCTCTAAAAATATAGTATTCGCGCGGAAGTGTCGAAGACACGTATTACCACGACCAAGACCCGAGACGAGACGGGACGACGGCTGCGCGCGAGGATCTCTCTTGTTCTCTATCACTCAACAAGGAAGTGGGAAAGTCAAGCCTTAAATACCATTCCCAATAGTGTTTCCAATACTATGTGGGATTGAGCATTACCAACACTTGTTCCTAATACTATGCGGGATTGAGCCTTAAATAGTGATATTATTTGTGAATTATAGTTAATGACTTTAGTATTTGTATGAAAAGTATTTGTGGTTCGTTTAGTTTTCATGCAATTCTAATTTATTTTCAATTGATTGTAATTGCACGATAACAATTTTTTTTTATTCTCGCGAGTGAAGCATTATTTTTTGAATGTTTTGCTTAAAATTGCAATAATCGCGATTGATTGTAGATTGACTTTTAATTATGACATATTTAATCGTATAATACTAATGCAATTGGTTGCTGATTCAGTTGTTTTAAGGTGCATGATTGTTAATTGTTTCCTGAATAATCACATAGTATTGGAAACAAGTGTTGGTAATGCTCAATCCCACATAGTATTGGAAACACTATTTGGAATAGTATTTAAGGCTTGACTTTCCCACTTCCTTGTTGAGTGATAGAGAACAAGGGACTCTCGCGCGCCGCCGCCATCCGTCTCGTCTCGTGGTCGTGGTCGTGGTAATATGTGTCTTCGACACGTCCGCGCGAATACTATCTTTTTAGAGAAAATTCTTAAGAAACAAATGTAATACCACCAGTCGTTGCAATTTTGGACTATCGCAATGAATTTGGAATAAATCGCAACGCGAACTTGGACTATCGCAACGAATTTGTAATAAATCACAACGCGAACTTCGACTATCGCAAATCAGTTTCCAGATTCGCAACGCAAACTTGGACTATCGCAATATGAATATGTAAATCACAATGCGATAGTCGAAGTTCGTGTTGCGAATATGGAAACTGATTTGCGATACCGGAGTCGCGTTGCGAATTATCGATCGCATTGCGAATTATCGATCGCATTGCGATTTAGTTGGTCATTTTGGCAAATCCAAAAAAAATTGATTAAAATCGTATATTATAAGGCATTTTTGGTCACTGAGGTTATTTTCTCTAAATATAATGCTTGGCCAATGTCTTTTAATGGTAGGAATTTTTCTCCTCTTTTAGTAATATTTTATTAAGGATTGAATTTGATGTTATATTTAGAGATGTTTAAAATTGGATATCTGATTCTTCGGGTATTATATTTATCTGCCCGTGACCTGACTTGTTAATTATGGATACCCATAAAATTTGGGTATCCAGATTTTCGGATCACGACTACCCGATTCACATATATATGTTTTATTTTTTTTAAAATTTACATAGAAAATACATAAAAATTTAAAAGTTCATTATATACAATCCGTACACAAAAATTAATGATTTGAAGTTAGTTTTAAGGATAAATTTTAGATATATATATTTAAATTTTATATTGACAAATTAATAATTTTTTTGAAAATTTTAAAACTTAAAAGTATATAATACAAACCTAAGAAAAAAATTAGGGATTTAAATTTAATTTTAAGATAAAAATATTAAGGAACATAAAATAAAAATATAATTTAATATATATATATATTAAAACTATCGATTGAGTACATGGTTATAAAAATATTTCGACCCAGACCCGATCCAACTATCCAGGAAAAATCACGGGCCAAGTACCCGGCCTGGTCGAGTATTTTTTTAGATAATTATTTGATTTTTTTAGGTTTGGATCGACAGACCGAGTCAATCGAGTTGAATATTTTTGAACACCCTAGTCATATCTCAAATTGGTGTTAAATTAATTATTATTATTTATTTAACTATGATTTAGATCATAAGTCAGTTCTCTTATACTGGTAAGTGTTTGTAATTATTTTAAATATGTCACATTTGAGTTGTGATAAAATAAATCGTAAATGTATCATTTTTTTTATTATTTGTATGTTTGTATTGATGGTGTATAGTTTTTATGGTTGACAATAATATTTGATCGTATTTTTATTTTTTAAATTGTTTAATTATATTCTTTAATGGTTTTTATATTCTGTATATTTTCATTATCGAAAGGAAACACACAACTCATGTAGGATCAATGACATTTATTAACTGATTTACAAATTTTATCATTTGAAGTTTGTTGAGCTTGAGAAAATACAATTGATGATGTTATTTTGATTATGCACTACAACTTCTTAAATTAGAAAAAAAAGAAATATAACTATTTAATATTAGTGTTATTCAGTGACGGATTTAAAAATTTAAGAATAAAATTGAAAAATTAAAAAATTTAATATTATTTTCTTAAAAATAATAATTATGGTAAAAATTTATTTTTTATTTTTACTTATTATATTAAACTAAAATTTACCTTTTTTTTAAATAATGTGATGCACTTTACCCTATAGGGCTAAGTGCATTTGCCCATCGTGTTATTATGAATAACAATAAGAAAACTCATTTAACCTACTGGATTGCTTTTTATCAGAGATCTAAACTCAAGATTTAAGGGTGTAAAAAATATTTTTTTATTTTTTATACAATTAATTTTTATAAAAGATAAAATTCTTATAGAATTAAATTTTAGTCGTTTTAATTTCCTTCTTAATATTTTTTATATTTTTAAAAATATAATTATTATATAATTAATTTTGAGTTATTTTTCATTATTATTTTAACTCATTGTAGGGTACCCCAGCTTTATAAAATTCCCCTTTGCCTTGGGGCCCTAAGCCTAAACGGTTAAACCTACAGCCGAAAGGAAATTTTCGTTTTGAAATTTTAGCCGTTTGAAAAATTTAAATCTCTGTCATAATTGCAAAGAAGATCCTTATACTTTCCCTTTCTGGCCGAAGGACCCTTGAAATTCAAATCCAAGACCCGCCGCCAACTTTCATTTTTCAAAATCTAAAACCCAATATCCACCGTCCATCGCCGCCTTTAATTTCGAATCCCATTTCCCCCATCCAAACGGACCATCATTTTCTCTAAAATTCCAGAAAGCAAGCAGTAGAGCGAGCTCATTACCAAGATCTTCCAAAGATCTGACATGAAACCATAATTTATTTACCCTTTTTTTCTTAACTCAGAAACAGAATTGCAGGAAATAGATTTCGTATTCTGTTTTTCAATTCCACTTTCAGGTACTCATTTAAAGCTTCGGTTTCATTTTGTTTGAAGTCTTGTAGTTTGTTTTGGCTTTTCATTTCATGTTTTTTTTCCATGCTTACATTGATTTACTAGAATGTTGAGAGATTTCAAATTCTTGAGGCGAAACGCGAGCAACAATGAGGAGGTCGAGAATGTTCCGGTGAACCCTAAAGACTCGCAAGCTTATCAACCGAGCAGTGATGGATTGAGTAGGCCTCCTTTCAACACGATTCAAGATCCGAAAACAAAGGCTAAACCAGAGCCGGAAGGGAGCATTCGGAGCAGAATCGATAGGACTCCAACTAAGCCCAAATGTAAACTGCCAGATTCGACATTGCCTCTCAAAACCCCGGATAAGCATGGGTTTTCGACTAAAATCAGGTATGGTTGGACGAAGAATGAAGCGGCCGAATCGGATTTGCTTAATGGCGGGTCAACAAATATGACCCCGAGGGTGAGTAGGGGAACAGGGAGAGCAACTTCGAGTTGTTATTCTGAGAGTAATTCGACACAGAGTACGCCGACTAAGAGCGTTGTTAGTAAGCCTCAGGTTTCCGGTTATAGGAACAAATTTGATGGGAATGGAGGGATGCGTGGAGGGAACTTTTCTGCATTGTACAGAGGAATTCCTAGCTCTTCTTCTTGTGGTCCGGTTACTGTTGTGAATACTGTCGAAGTTCCTCACTTTGACCTTAAAGAAGATCCCTCTTTTTGGATGGATCACAATGTACAGGTAAATCCCTCTAATAGGAACTGACTACTGTCTTAATTGCACAAATTTATATTTCATTGTGATAATTGATGATGATTCTGGAAACTTAGGTTCTTATTCGTGTCCGTCCTCTCAATGACATAGAGAGGAACACAAATGGCTACAACAGATGCTTAAAGCAAGAAAGTTCTCATAGTATTGCTTGGATTGGGCAACCAGAAACTAAGTTCACGTTTGATCATGTGGCATGTGAAACTGTAGACCAGGTATGCTTAAACACAAATCAACATTTGTGTGCAGAAAAAAATATCCTTTTCTGTAATCAATTTTCTTTCTCACATATAGTCTTTTGCAGGAAGTTCTTTTTAGGATGGCCGGTCTGCCGATGGTAGAAAATTGTTTATCCGGCTATAACAGCTGTATGTTTGCCTACGGTCAGGTACTCTTTTCGAAGCCTAGGATGCAACAAACATTTTTATTCACTTCTCTACTACATTGGTTATCTTGACATTACTGCATTTGGACATGCAGACAGGAAGTGGCAAGACTTATACAATGCTTGGAGAGATTGAAGATTTGGAAGTCAAGCCGAGTCCCCACAGGGGCATGACACCGAGGATATTTGAGTTTTTGTTTGCAAGAATTCAAGCTGTAATTGTCTGAAATTCATGCTAGCATTTCCCGGTTTATTCTTGGATACCGTTTTTGTTTATTGATTCTCTCCATCTCTTTCATTACAGGAAGAGGAAATCCGAAGAGATGAGAAATTAAAATACAATTGCAAGTGCTCTTTCCTTGAGATTTATAATGAGCAAATAACTGATCTTCTTGATCCCTCTGCTACCAACTTGCTTGTAAGTTTACTACTTTCTTATGTTTGCCTTGCTCCAGCTAGTTTTCATTATGCAATTTTTAACTTTTAGCTGAGGGAAGATGTTAAGGAAGGAGTGTACGTGGAAAATCTCACTGAGTTTGAAGTTCAGAATGTGAGCGATATTTTGAAGCTTTTATCTCAGGTGACAATCTTTATCAGTACTTTGGTTAGCAGGGAACTGCTGCTCACTCCTCTCAGCGCATTTTATTTAAATTGTATATGTTCTTGTTTTAAATCACTGTATATTTTTTTGCATAGGGTTCTTTGAATAGGAAAGTTGCTGCAACAAACATGAACAGGGAGAGCAGTCGTTCGCATAGTGTTTTTACCTGCGTTATTGAGAGCAGGTGGGAAAAAGATTTCGCAACTAATTTGCGGTTTGCAAGATTAAACCTGGTTGATCTTGCCGGTTCAGAAAGGTGCGGTGCAAACCATTTTGTTGAACCATATATATGTGTGTGTTTTAGCTTATATTTGTGTGATGAAATTCCTGTCTTTTTGATACTACTATAGGCAGAAAACTTCTGGGGCTGAGGGTGAGCGTTTAAAGGAAGCAGCTAGCATAAATAAATCTCTATCAACACTAGGGTACTTAAAACTATTTCCCTTTTCTTCAACAGATTTTTATGTTTTTTATTATATTTCCTTTGCTTAACTTTTGTTCCTTGCTAGTCAAACTTATGATTTCATATTATCAAATGCAGTCATGTAATTATGATTCTTGTGGATGTGGCTAATGGAAAGCCTCGGCACATTCCATATAGAGACTCGAAGCTCACCTTTCTTCTTCAGGTCAGTTTCTATTTCTGTTTTATTCTGTCTTCACTACATTGCAGTTATTGGTTGTGACAGAACATTTCATCTTAAATGTGATTCAGGATTCACTTGGTGGAAATTCTAAAACAATGATAATTGCTAATGTCAGCCCTTCTATCTGGTTGGTTTCTATTTGTGACAATTCAAGCTTTTAACTTGAACATAAATATGCATGATCCTGACTGACTTCCAATACCTTATATATATATTTTCATTTTTTTTCAGCTGTGCAATTGAAACACATAACACACTAAAGTTTGCTCAGCGAGCAAAATTAATTCAAAACAATGTGAGTTTACTCTTATTGCATGTTGTTATATATTTTATAAAAACAATTCAGTTTTTTCATAATTAAAATTTTCACTTGTCGGCATAGGCTGTGGTGAATGAAGATTCCACTGGAGATGCCATTGCACTACAAAACCAGATACGACTTCTAAAGGTGTGGCACATTGATCGTTGTTTCTTTATTTTTTTCTTTTTTCAGGTCATGTGAATTAAAGAAATTGTAACTGATTTGATTTGAACAGGAAGAGCTTTTGGCTCTTAAACGTCAGAATGTATCCCGGTCCTTGTCTTTTGGTTCAGCAATCACTGCCGCATTGCAATTAGAAGAAAGTCCTGATGATAACACATCTGAAATGTGTCAGGAACAAGTTGATGATTTACTTGGATATGAATCCAAAGGCACCGTGAGAATGTCCGCTAAGCAGGTAGCTCTTGGATGCGGCAATGATGGTTATTTTTTCTTTAATAGAAAGGAATGTTTTACTAATGAACATTATGCCTTTTCAAACTCTGAAATTTTTGCAGTTTAACTCTTTGGAGGCAACACTCGCTGGTGCCTTGAGAAGGGAGAAAATGGGAGAAACTTGTATCAAAAAGCTTGAAGCTGAGATTGAGCAATTGAATCGTTTGGTATTCTTTTGTGCCCCACTTCCAATTCTGTTATTTCTTAAACTGCTTTCTTAATGTTTCGACGCCAAGTTTTTATAGGTTCGTCATAGAGAAGAAGACACCAGAAGCAGTAAAATGATGCTTAGGTTTCGTGAAGACAAGATTCAAAGAATGGAATCACTTGTTCGTGGGTCGTTGTCAGCAGATTCTTTTTTGCTTGAAGAGAATAAAGCACTCTCTGAAGAGATTCAGTTACTACAGGCTAAAGTTGATAAAAATCCTGAAGTAACTCGTTTTGCATTGGAGAATATAAGACTTTTAGACCAACTTAGAAGGTAAATTTCAAAAACAGATTATAGTACCAATATTCTACAAATTGTTTTCTATTTATTTTCACTGTGGCTCTTATAGATTTCAAGAATTCTACGAGGAAGGAGAAAAAGAGATACTATTGGATGAAATATACAAACTGCGGGATCAGGTATTTCTGATCTTAAAATCTTTATATTCTATCATTTGATTTCTCTTATTTGGATAATGCATAATTCTGGTCTTCTACATGCAGCTTCTTCAATTTCTTGATGGGAAGTCTAATCATCATAGCTATGCAAGTTCAAATGATCGTTTGCAGGTTAACTTTTCGACCTGTTACATTTTGTCACCCATGTTTGTTTTCAGAAACTATTATGGGAAGGATAAGTTCGTTTTTCTTTAATGATTTTATTTTTCTTCTAATGCAGGAAGCTGTCCGCATCAGCAAAGAAAATAACTCCCTACAGTCTGAGGTCAGTTTATTCATTGTTTGCCAGAAATATAATTTTAAGTTAGTCTTTGGTCTTCGGGTCTTGAATGTCATTCTCTTTTTCATTGTTTCAGTTGAAGAACACTCTCACTGAGTTAGAAGAATGCAGGCACAACCTTAGTTCCTGCTTAGATGAGAATGCAAAACTTAGGAGGTCTGATCTTCTTTTCAACTAAACTGTCTTTCATTATGTTAATGTTGAAAGCTGCCATTTTCATGCGTTCTGATGTAACATTTTCTTGCATCTTCTGCAGAGAAATTAACGATCTACATACTATGTTAGATAGCCTCAAGTCTTCAGCTTATCATCAAAATAGCAATTCCAGAACCATGAAGGTAATATTTGTTTTTCTATTACCGTTGCTTAAGCTTATAGCATCTTGAACTAGGATAGAAGAACACACACTTAGGTGCTGAGTTTTTTTTTATTTGACCAGCCATTTGTTGCTTTTATTAATTTTTGAAACCCACCTGCTAACGATAGGTAACATCAATTCCAGGGTTCAGATTGGAATGCTGATACAATGGAGATGAATTCAGTTCAGACAATGACAAGTCTGGAACAAATTATGGATCTGCAGTTGGAACTGGATATACTAAAGATTATTCTTCAAGAAGAGAAAACATCTCATGCTGCAATTGAAGAAAGAGAAATCAGTTTGACTAGAGATCTTGAGATGGCAAATGACAAACTTATGATGCTGAACAAACAAATTGAAGATACAAATGGTGAACTAGAGGAGGCAAAGTCTGTAATTGCCGCACTCGAGTCCCAACAAATTTTTTCAATCAATGAGATGGAGGACTTGAGGAAAAGCAAAAGTGATCTTGTAAAGCTTTTGAGTGAACAAAAAGATGAAATTGTTGCCATGAAAAAGAAACTTTCCAGTAGAGCTTTTAAAGATGCTACACGACCTAAAAAGATAGAGGGTGAAGAATCCACCCTTGAGCTGAAATTGAAGAGGATGCACGAGTCTCTCGAGAATGCCAAAAGGATGACTATCTGGTACCAAACTGATCGTGCTTTCAAGGTTTCTAACAAAGAAGAAGTGGATGAAATCTGTCGGCAGGCTGAAGCTGAAACTGCTGAGGTTATTGTCTGTTTGCAGGAAGAACTTGCTCTTCTTCAACAGCAAGTTCAAGATTGTCAGTTGAAGGAGGTGGAGGCTCAAAATGGTGCTGTCTTTTTAGAGACTAAATTGAAGGAATTGCAAGAAAAGGTATGTATGTTGACTGTAGATAATAATCAGTTACTTGTAAAACTTGAAATGAAAGATGCAGAACTAAGAACATTAACGGAGGACTGGGAACTGCTAAATTCTGAGATTGAAAACATACTTGCTGATGGTCATGAAGAGCTTGTTGATGCTGGTAATCAACTGGAACTCCTTTCTGGTTCTTTTCCTCAGAGAAGGATTTGGATTTCTGAGAAAGTTGGTAGGATGGTCAGAGTACTGTCAGAAAAGAAATTGCTGATTGAAGAGCTGAAGGAATTGCAAGAAAAGGTATGTTTGTTGACTGAGGACAATAAGGATTTGGATTTCTGAGAAAGTTGGTAGGGTGGTAAGAGTACTGTCAGAAAAGGAATTGCTGATTGAAGAGCTCGGAAGATGCCTGGAGGATGCAACAGATAAAAGAAGTGAGCTGGAGTCCATGCTGATGTCTTTGAGAGGTGCTGCACTGGTTATCAATGAAGCACAGCAGCAAGAATACAATGAAAAGGAGAAAGAAATTGTTCTACTGAAGAAAGAATTGAATGAAAAAACAGCAATCATTACAAAGCTTGAGCATAGAATGAAGATTGCTGAAGGTGACTTAAGAAATGCATCTGCTTGTGCAACTGTGGCTTTTGTAGTTGTGAATAGACTATCAGAGGCAAACCGTAATCATCTCGATGCATTGAAAGGTAAGGACATCCAGCTGGCAGAAGAAAATGTGAAAGAAATTGTTCAATTGAAGAAAGAACTGAATGAAAAAACATCAATCATTACAAAGCTCGAGGATAGAATGAAGATTGCTGAAGGTGACTTAAGAAATGCATCTGCTTGTTCAACTGCTGCTTTTGTAGTTGTGAATAGACTATCAGAGGCAAACCGTAATCGTCTTGATGCGATGAAGTGTAAAGACATTCAGCTTGCAGAATCAGCACATGCACTAGCTCTGGAAGAAACTGTGAATGACTTTGAAAAGCTGTTGGAAGTCAAGATTGGAGCTGTCCATCACAAGATAAATACAGTTGAGCAAACCATGCAAGAAATCAGTACTCATTGGCGCCAGACAAAGGAGGTGAACTGTTTAAAATTTTTAAATGTATAACCTTAGAACGACAGAAAAAAATATTCCGATGTTGTATACTTGCTTTTAGTTAGTTTGGGCATTTCATTCTACGTGCTTTTACCCGAATAAACTAGGAGTAACCCATATTTTAGTTTTATTGAGATATACACAATGTTAGGAATTCTCTTTATTGTAATAATCCTTTCCTAATTTTGTACATACTTATTAGTACAAAATTATGCTTAGGCTTGAGAATTAATCAAGATAAATTTTCACAACCAATTTTTTACTTTCTTTTTCATCAAAACTTCAAATCTTGCTTGATTTACAAGTTCAAATAATATGTAAACCTTATATTTTTTCCTTTTTCAATGTTCTTGGGCAGTTTCTGGAACTTGAAGTTGGTGATGCAAAGATAATTGCAACTCATGAAGCTTCAAATGCTTCCTGTATTCTTGCTAAATTTGAGGAGGCACAAGATACCATAACAGAAGCAGATGTTATGATCAATGGGCTCATGACTGCTAATGAAACAATGAAACTCGATATTAAGAGGCGGAAACAAGTGGAAACCACACTACTAAATGAGAGGGATGAACTAATTAATGAGGTGAAAGGTTTGCAATCCAGTAATACTGTGAAGGATAAGCAACTTGAAGTCCTCGAAGAGCAGTTTGGCTCAAGTTTGAAAGAGACAAGGTTCATGGTTGCCGAACTGGAGGGCCTCGTCACTGAATTGCAAACTGCTTTTTCTCAAAGTGTCATGACTGTAGCTTCTGATTGTCACTGCCTTAAGTCTCTTATGTTTGATTCAATGACGCTAGCAAGATCATGGCTTGAAGACATCTGGTCGGAGATAATTGTGAAAGGCTGTGCAGTGTCAGTGCTTCACTTATGTCATATGGGAATTCTGTTGGAAACCTTGACAGGGCTAAATGCGGAGAATGGTTTGCTTCAGCATGGCTTGTCCGAGTCGAATGCTGTTATAGCTGATCTGAGGGAGCACAATTCCAGGTCAAGAAGAGAGCTTGAATTGTGTAGAGTTATCAAGGGGAAACTTCTAGCTGATATCAAGAACAGTTTTGACCGAATTTTAAAGAAGGAAGAGGAAACTGGTGAGCTCAGTGTCAAATTAGTCACTTTCGAGAAAAAGATAAATGATTTACAGTTTCAAGAGGAAGTTATGTTGCAAAGGTCTAACCATATGGGATCTCAACTTGCGGTTCTAATGAAGGAGTTAGATTTGAGTAACACAAATTTTGTAACATGCCTTCTTGATCAAGAGCAACTGCTCAAAGATAAAGAAGGGCATCTGGAATCTCAGGCTGAGATTTCAATGATAGACTTGTGTACAAAAGACTTTGAGTCTCTTATTTTGGCTTCAGAGATGGAACAAATGATTGTCTACTTGGCTGGCTCCAAAAAAATGCTTGCCAATGCTTATTCTGTCCTTGATGGTTTAAAGCAAGACATAATTTTCGCACAAGTAGATGCATGTTTGAAAGAGCAGCTAATGGTGGAGCAGGAAGGTGAGTTTTCTTTTCTACAAGAAAAGGTTGAAGAAGCACATTTTGAGTTGAGAAAGTTCAAGAAAGAAAACTGTCTACTTCTACGGGACTTGGACAAGAAGAAATATGATCTTCAATCCTCTATAAATTGCCTCGACGCTTCCAATCTTGAACTTCAGCAGTTGAAAGAAAAAACCTTTTCCATGGAGACTTGCATTACCAGTCTACAAACTGATCTAGAGCTGAAAGCCAATGAATTGAAGAAACTCAGACATTCTCAATCTATTTTCATTGAGAATTTAGGTTCGAAAACTCAAGATTTGCGCATTTTTATTGAGAAAGTTAACATGTTGAGGGAAGAGAATGCTGCAAAATGTGTTGATTCTATGGAAACTATAAATATGACAGGTAGCAGGTTATTCGGTACACTGAATAAAGAAGGTGTTACAATTGCTGATAAAATGGTTCACGAGTTGCGTGATAATGCAGAGAGGATATTAAAGTTCATAGAAGATTTAGAGTTCTTAGAGAATAGAGTTGAAGAGATGGCATCTGAAAATATTTCTCCCCATGAAGAGTTATCGAGGAAAGATGAGGTTTTGACAGGTCTATTATTTGATCTCAGCCTGTTACAAGAGTCTACTTCTAATACCAAGGATCATAAAGATGAAATTGAGGAATTAGTTTCTTCTTTGGAGGCTTTAGAAGATGAGCTTTCTGGTAAATCAAGTGAACTTGATGAGGCAGTTAGTCATGGCCATACGCTCGAAGTTCAACTGCAGGAGAAGCTCAAGATTATCACTAGTCTTCAGTCGGATATTACAAGAGAACGTGAGTCTTCGGAACATCTCTACTCTGAAAATGAGGAGTTGAAATCTCGTATTGAGGATGCCTTGGCAGTAAAAAGTTCTCTTAAAGATGAATTAAGAGAGAGAAAGAAGATCACTGAGAGCTTAGAGGTGGAATTCTCAGAAATGAGTAATACCCTTTCTCAAATGAATGATACCATAGAATTCTTGAGTGGTAATCTGGATGAACTTTCTGGTGAAAGAGATGACCTTCAGATGGAGGTTCTTAGCTTGGAAGAAAAGCTTAGAAAGGCACAGGCTGAGGCGAAACGAAGTGAAGCCATTGCTATGGAAGCTCAACAGGTATGATCTAGTTTAACGTGTAAAATAGTATTTCAGTTTCCTTTTAATATATAATCTCATCTTATATTTGTATGGATTGAATTTGATGATAGATGGCTGAATTGAAGAATACCTATGCTGAAGAGAAGGAAGCTGAGGTAAAGCTATTAGAGAGATCTGTTGAAGAGCTAGAATGCACCCTAAATGTTTTGGAGAACAAAGTAAGACGTTGCAATATGATAAAGCTGCACGAAAGTACTATTGTCATGACCATGTTAATAAATCCCAAATTTGTTAGGTTGACATTATCAAAGGGGAAGCTGAACGTCTACAATTACAAAGAGAGGAGCTAGAATTGGAGCTGGATGCTGTAAAAGTTCAGATGCAGAATGTTAAAAATGCTGATGCAGACATGAAAAGGTCTGTCAATGTTATCTTATTTGTAATGCCCATACCCTTACTATATAAATGATGATAAATCGTTCCGACTGAAAATATATCATTTCTTTCTATCTGCAGGTGTTTGGATGAGAAGAGGAAGGATCTTCAAGAAGCCCTGGATCAAATACAAATTCTTGAAACTGAAATATCTGACAAGGATAGAGAGGTGAAACCTTTAGCTATCGGTGACTTTATTTTCTTCTATGAGAATGCAATTTTCTAAAACAATTTTCTACGAGAGGTCTTTGGTTTTCGCTTTTCAAGATAGGTACGGTGTTTTTGATAAGTTTCCATTATTGTTCAACAGATTGCCCAGTGCAAAACACATATTTCTGAACTAAATTTGCATGCAGAAGCCCAGGCAAAGGAGTATACGCAGAAGGTATGCTAACAGTTCTTGATTGGATTAGGCTGTTCTGCTGCATTTTCTCTGGCCTATTTAAGATTAAATCATATGCTCTTTTTCCTTGATATTCTAACCATTTGGAGAAATATAAAAATTGGAAACAGTTCAAAGCATTGGAAGCCATGGCTGAACAAGTTAAACCTGAAGGTTACCCCACCAATACCCAAAGTCATTCATCGAACAAGTTAGAGAAAAATGTGGCAAAGCCTCGAGGCTCTGGTTCCCCATTCAAATGCATTGGCTTGGGTTTGACACAACAAATAAAATTGGAGAAAGATGAGGATCTTACTGCTGCAAGGCTGCGAATCGAAGAATTAGAATCCTTAGCAGCAAATAGGCAGAAAGAGGTAGGTTTTATCGCATGGATGTTGATTCCACAACCATCTTACAAACTTTGGGAGTTTGCACTTGCTAATTATTTTCTGTAAACATGTCATTTTCCACAGATATTTTCCCTCAATGCAAGATTAGCAGCTGCAGAGAGCATGACCCATGATGTTATTCGAGATCTATTGGGAGTCAAATTGGATATGACCAATTACGTGGTAACCCAATTTACTTATAGCTAGTATTTTAATATTGGCTCTTTGGCACTTTAAAATATATGTTGCTTAAGGACCAATGCTCTTTAATGCAGTCACTGTTGGATAACCAGCAGGTGCAGAAAATAGCAGAGAAGGCTAGACTCGATCATTTAGAATCTCAAGTGAAGGTGTGGTTTACTCGAGTACTTTGAAGTTTTGCGAGCTCTATTATGTGTCCTGATTTATCTGAATTACGTCATATCATACTTACAGGATCATGAGGTTGAGAAGCTCAAGCAGCAGCTCAATGAATTTGTTGACGAGAGGCGAGGGTAAGCAAACATAACTTCATTAAGAACAATATTGCTTACTTGGCTAAAGCTCAGGCAAACAACCTATAAGCTAAAGTTTTTAATTTTTATTTTCATTCTATTTCATATCTTCAGTATATTTCATCTTGTTTTAACAGGTGGCTGGAGGAAATTGATAGAAAACAGGCCGAGCTAGTAACTGCGCAAGTAGAGTTGGAGAAGCTTCGCCAGCGAGATCAGTTACTTAAAACAGAAAATGAAATGCTTAAGGTTAAATCCTTGAACTTCTCTATTCCCATTGGTGGTGAATGATTTATTTTCCATCTTTCGTGAACATAACTCATGCTATCTGCAGATGGAGAATGTAAATTACAAGAAAAAGGCGATCGAACTTGAAGGAGAAGTAAAGAAGCTGTCTGGCCAACAAAACCTCCAACAACGAATTCATCACCATGCCAAAATTAAGGCAAGATTTCCACCTTTTCTTCCTCTAGTGGACTTTCTCCTCAAATCATACCAACTCTGATCTGTTTTATTATTATTATTATTATTATTATTATTATTATGTTTTGAATGATGCAATAGGAGGAAAATAACATGCTAAAGATTCAAAACGAAGAGCTTTGTTCCAAGCTGCGGTGGACAGAGGTTGTACTTTCACGTGTAAGGGACGAGCTTGCTCAATATCGTGGTTCTACTGGGAAAAGCCCTTACGTTAACTTTGACGAGGAGCAACGTTTGAATAGCAAACTGAGGGTTAGTCCCTAGAGATGTCCTTCTATATAAGGCTTCAGCAAAAGTTTTATGGTTCAATTAATCATCTTTAAATCGGTTGCAGGAATCTCATGAAGACCGGGTGCAACTAGCACATAAGTTGCTGGGACTGTGTGCAAGTGTTTTAAAGGCTGCTGGTATAACGATGCCTATTTCTGATGTATGCCCTGCGGCTGCTGAAGAGGCACTTGGGCAACTCCGGAATAAAGTCATCTCACTTGAAAGAGAATTGCAAAGTTTGACACTTAAGGTAATTAACTGACACTAGCAAGTGTGTAATTTACCTTGCATACTATATGCCTGAACTTGGGACGAGTGTCAAATACGAATGTATTTTCGTGTCCAAATATCATAGGAGATAGAAGTATTGTCCAATACGAATATAATCATAGGAACAAGTGCTTTAGAGAAGGTAACGAATCCGGACGTTGTGAAAAAGACTGATGAATCAACAAATTTGTTTTGCAGAACAAGATTTATAGTGAAAGAAACAGATTGTCGGAACTAATGCCCCAGACATCATCAACAGCAAGTGCAAGAACAGATGAAAACTGTCATACTCCAAAAAGGGTACCCCAAGCTCCATTTCTTTCTACGTTAGATCGATAGCCTAAGTCTCGAAAATCGACCTCTAATTACTTACTACTTGTATACTTATTATCATCATTTTTTTTGTTTCTTGAGACAAACCTCGACGGCATGATTGTATATCTAATGAAATAAGCAATGATTTTGTCAAAAACCTCAAGTTTGATGAAGCTCTAATTCACGTTTATGCTTACATTAAACGCTATATAGTATTAGTAGATTTTACCTATAGTTTAGAAAATAAGGTAAAAATTTTGGTGAGCTTAACGAGCAACTAGCATCGAGCTTACCGAGCAACAAATTTTTTTTAACAAGCACTCTTAAGCTCGTGATCGACTCGTTCGATAAACTCCCCTAGGCATGTAACACGTTCATTTTTTGAAATGTATAAAGTTATACAACAAATTTTCTAGAAGTGGAGACAAATGAGTTACAGAGACTAAACAACATTACATAACGGCACTTCAAAGAGGCAAAGACAATAAGTGAAAAACAGAACATCAGTACTTCACTTCCAAAGGGCGATACCGATGAAATGCTGGATTCCAGGTTGACATGGAGAAAACCGTACCTATATTTTTCGTCCTGTACTTGCAGTAAAACGATAGCCTCTTCCGTATATTCTCCGGAAGGTTCAAACGGTGAAACTCCGATGAATGTTGAATGATCACCCTCTCCGCGCACGATTATAATCACATCGCATATATTATCTGTCCGCTACTATTGATGTCGAGTTCAGGATCACTGTCTAGGTCCTCCTCCATATCGTCGTCAATGTCCAGACTACCGGTCAGGATTTAGACTATTTGTATTGCCTGCAGGGATAGTGGCTTCGGAAATGATCTGCATGATCTCGTCGACACTTTGTACCGGTTGATCGGGTTCTTCGAACTGGTTGTTCATCGTGTTCTCATCCATGAGATCTGCTGGTAGGTTCTTTAGAAACCACTCGTGGTTACGTATTTCAGGGTTTCAACAGTTAGAATGTAGGAACCAGAAACAAAGAAGAAACGAGGTTAAAACTCGAAAAATAAAATGCAAGAATATCGACTCGGGTTTCAACAAAGAAAGAACTAACTTTCGCAGGGTCGGCCACGAAATCCTCGAGATCAGATGATGACACTAGGGCGATATATGAACATAGTCAGGGATTGAGTACTGCACATTTAAACTACTTTCACTCATTCTTAGCAGCAAAATAGAAAATTTTCAATTTTCTAACATTTTTTATGATTGATTTCTGTTGTGTTGTAGAAATTCAATCTTGCTGGTAACCCAGAAGAGGAACAGAGAAGACTAAGGAGATTTGCACAACAGCAGCTTCAGGGAAGCAGAAGTGAACGCGAGGAGGAGGAAGAAGAAGAGGAAGAGAAAGACTACAACGGCAGCCGCAGCCACGAGCAGCAAAGCTCATCATGCAGCAACATTCTCTGCGCCGTGAGTTCCTCGTACACAACCACTTTCTTCTTCCCCAACAAGTTTTCCAGACGGCTTTATCGTTCGTCGCCATTGCTTCCATCGCCAACGCTCGATACTCGTCTCCTCGGTTGGCAGAGAAGGCCGCCGCTTGTCAACCTTTCCACGTCGAAAAGAGTGAGTCCGGGTGTTCGAGAATATGAGTTTCCGATGAGTTTATATGCGAGTTGAAAATGGAAGATGGAGTCGAAGAGAGTTGCTCAAGTAGAGTGTGCACGACGCCTCAGTTGCAGAAACAATACGTGTTACTCGTCGGTTCGTCGCGTCACAATTAGAAACCGAAGTTAAAGGAGAAGAAGAAAAAGAAAAAGAGAGATTTTCAATATTAAAAAATATGTCGCGTGACTTTTTAATGGATTAACGGTTAAATTTAACGGTCTGTTATAGTGTGATCAATTTTGAGTTACGAAATAAAATATTAGGCATCAAACTGGAACCAAAAAAATATTAGACACTGAACTAGAAAAATGAACATACTTTGGACACATTTTGTATATTTAAGTCAAATAATTATAACAAAATAATTATAAAAAATTGAATAACTCGACTCAAATTTCTTAAAATCGACTCGACTTAAAAAAAAATTCAAGTTAAGTTCGAGTTGTAAAATACGACTCGTTAACTCGAATAACTTAAATTTTTTAATTCTACTCAACTCGATCGAATGTTCACCCTAATTAATATATTTAGATACTAAAATGTTGCCGCGGCCTGTTAAGTATGGGTCCTCATAAATTACACATATAAAGTTTGGGTACCACTTTTTCAGGTCACATGTTCACTATTCATATTTTTTTGTTTTATTTTAAAAAAAATTATATTATTTAAAAATACATAAAAATATAAGATTTTAAATTTAAAGATCAATAAGACACAATTCACTCATAAAATTTAAAAGATAAAACTTATTAAACATAAAATTAAAGAAATACAATTAAATTTAAAATATTTTAAAGTTAAAAAGAAATAATTTGAGAAACAATTTTTATTTTTAGTGTGGATTAATTTTAGTTGTTAAGAATTTAGAATTTTAGGATGAAATAATTTGAAAATTAAAAAAAATAATATAAAATAAAAATAGATTATATATAAGAATCCGGGTATCGGGTTGACGAGTACTCACCCCAAAAATTCAATTATTTTTATTATAAATACTCAATAATTAGACCGGATTGATGGGTCAACGGATCAATTTATTCAAATCGAGTATTTTTAAACACTCTTAACTGAAATCATTTAATGGGTTCGATATAACAAATCGATCGATAAAGCCCAAATCAATTGGTGGATCGGGTTCAAAGCCCAAACTTCAACTTCACAAAATTTCCACATTTGTTTTTGTGTTTTTCAAAAGCTTTACTTGCATGCGACTCCAGTTTTCGAATAAGGCAGCCCCCCTTTCCAAGTACCGGCGAAAATCCCGAACCGGGGAAAACCCAGATTCGATTTTTATACACAAAAATGGTTTCGGACTCGGACCTGGTGGCCCGACTCAGAGAAATCCTATCGCAGTCGGACCTCGACACCGCCACCGCAGGCAGTGTGAGGAAACAACTCGAGGAAGAATTCGGCGTCGACTTATCTGATAGGAAAGGTTTTATGAGGGACCAGATCGACGTTTTCCTCGAAACCCTAAATCAGGAAAACGAAAAGCACGAACATGCGCCTGGTTCTGAAAATGAAAATGACGTGCTTCAAGAAGATGATGATGATGACGATGAAGAAGAAGAAGAAAGCAAGGGAGAAGGAAGTCAAACAAGGCAGGTTTTGTTTTGCCCCATTTGATTATTGAATAATTAGTAATCTTGTATTAGAAATTAGGCGCTTTAATTGTTCAATTTTCGAGGGGGAACTTCCTCAAGTTCCATTTTTTAAAAGAATAAATTAAGCAAAAATAACATGTATTTGGGTTTTGTTTGTTTTTTATAATTGCATTGCGATAATCAGTTCAGTTATATAAGAAAAGATTTTTCATCTTAAATAAGAGTATGTATACTTGTATTTGGCATCAAGTTTCTGGTATTAGTGTTATGGATGGTTAGCGCCCTTTTCTTTTTGTGCAGGAGAGCAAGTAAAGCCGATCAAAAAGTGAAGAAAAGAGGTGGTGGCTTTCAGACAGTGTGTAGCCTTTCTCCTCAGCTTCAAAAAGTAGTAGGAGAGTCTAAATTGGCCAGAACTGAGGTATGTGTCATATATACATATTTGTTAATTGTTGTAGTTTTCCTCGGTAGTTTTGTTTTGAATTCTTATTTTCTCCCTTACTGTGCTTCTAGGTAGTGAAGAAACTTTGGGTATATATCAAGGAGAAGAATTTGCAAGACCCGAATAATAAGCGAAATATTATATGCGACGAACTACTTCGTGCTATTTTTCGCATAAATTCTATTAATATGTTCCAAATGAATAAAGCACTGACCAAGCATATCTGGCCGTTGAGTGAAGATGATGGTATTTTCTTTCGACATAGTTAATATTATCTGCTACGAGTGCACATTTTGTCCAATTATTTTGCCTATGTGAGTTATAGATTGCATATTATCATGGTGATTTTGGTTTTTTAATTTGTATTAAAGGGATCGGACCCTCTTTCTATTCATTGGCTGTTGCAATCAAAGAATTATTCTATGAAATGACATTTGGACACATGCACACATGGATCTCAAGTTTTAAATTTTCTGCATTTATTAATCATGTAAGTACTGTGAAGAAAACTATCATTCTCTATCATGACTCCTTTATTGTAGTTGATGATCTGAATGATAACCTTTGGTGAGAGAACTTTCTAGTGGTAGGTATAACTTATAGGGAACTATCTTTTCCTGTTTAGATGAAAACATGTTATTTATGCCGGCTCCTTTTATAATTTGCTAGTTTTAGCTGAAGATGATTACAATGGTGAAGTTATACTTTCCATGCAATTTGAGCCCCCTAACACATAGGCCATTAACCTATCTCCAAAAGTTGTTTAGGAGATGATAAATTGAAATGGATATAAATCTTTAATTCCATGCGAATAAGTAATGTAAATATATATAACACATGGTGCTAAAAGATGAAGGAAATTTCAATAGTGGGATTACGTATGATAACAATGTCTATGCTCATTATTACTTTTTGTTTTCGTTGGTAAATTTCATTCTATTGGATGTGATATGTAATATTTCCAAGGTGCAAACTAATCTATTTCTTTCCAGCCTTGGATTACCTTAGGATGTTTAAATTTTTCTGCAATTTCAACTTCAACTTCTTCAAACAGGCTTCCACATTGAACTTCAGTTTTATAACACTAATGGTATATTATAAGTTTCTTACGTCTTTCTTCTGAAGGCATTGCCAGGAACATGCATAATTTATGTAATCGTTTAAATATTAATGATGTGCCGTCAATTTAAATTCAGAAGATTCGAATCATGAGATGAAATGTGAAGATGGTGATGATTCTGTCTCCTTAAATGCTGAAAGTGCAAAGGAAGAGGAGAAAGAAGAGGAAAAGGAAGATGATGATCCTGTTTCTACAAATGCTGAAAGTTCAAAAGCAAAGAGAAAGAAGAGGAAAAGGAAGACGATGATGATCCTGTTTCCACAAATGCTGAAAGTTCAAAAGAAGAAGAGAAAGAAGAGGAAAAGGAAGAGGAGGAGGAAAAGGCTGAGCACGTGGGTAATGCACATAGAAGCAGGAACAAAAGGTTTATTTTCTTTTTTGACTATAACTTTTGCTGGTGTTTGCTTATACTCTCCTCTGTGTAAGTTCATTATCAAGTTTATATGTATGCTCAATGTAATCCTATATATATGTACATGTAGTAATGTTCCTTGTCAAACTAGATTATCAATTGTCAGATAGAGAGATTAGCACTTAATGCACAACTATACTGTTAGTTTCAGTTATATGTTTGTGTATTTGCTTAAGGTTTGTAACATTTTATCAAGGTATGTAGCTCGAAGGATCCCTAGATTTGTGGTTTAGTTGTCCTTGTTGGTAGTATCGGGTTTCCATTAGATAAAGAAAAATAGATGATTTCTGAAATATGTTTTATTTGAGCGTATACTGAAGGGAAATATTTATTAAGTTTCATCAAGCTAATGTGAATTTCTGACAAATTATTATAGGTCGTCTAAAGTGGATAAAGATATCAAGAGAAGGGGAGGTGGGTTTAGTAAGTTGTGTAGCCTTTCCCCACAGCTTCAGGAATTTATTGGAGAATCTGAACTGGCCAGAACTGAGGTTTAGATATTTCCATTTCAACATGTCAATCTTGTAAACTTTTTCTAATCAAAATCTTATGTTAGTGACCTGTTAATGTCTTTTCCTCCTTGCTTTTTCTTTCTTTTACTTGTAGGTTGTTAAGAGATTGTGGGCCTATATCCGAGAGAAGAATTTGCAAGATCCGAAGGACAAAAGAAATGTATTATGTGATGAATCATTGCGTGCTCTTTTCGGTGTAAATTCTATCAACATGTTTCAGATGAACAAGGCTCTTTCCAAACACATATGGCCATTAAATGAGGAAGATGGTATCATCTTAAGCATGACTTCCCCTAATGCTTGACTGGGTTGTGATATAAATGTTATCAGATCTTTATTTTCACCTCACATGCCAGCTTGTTTTGCAAAGCTTAACATGACTTTTCTTGCGTTGAAATCTTTGTTAGCACGGGATTGCTTTAAATTATTTTGTATAATTGCAATTAGCAAGTTTTTCCCCTTCAAATTATTTTCTCTAAATGCAAAGTTGGTAAAGTTTTCTTTCAGAATGGGTCCCTCGACTCTTCTGTTTATATTATACCTGTGTTTAAAGGGGGAGTATTACATCTTGAAGGGCTTATATTTGTTGTCCAAGAAACATTACCCAAATACTTTTTCTTTATTGAACTTTCAGAACCGTGATATATGCTGTGCGGACTTGTTCTTATGCATTTCCATTTGAATTGCACTGCCCTTGGTTTTTCTTCTGTTGATTATTCACAAAGTTGGTCTTCACTGCTTGAATAAATTGTTTTTCCCCTGATGTGGCAGCTCAATCTGACTCTACAAAATTGGAAACAAAATCTAAACAAGCAATGGAGAAGGGTAAGTGAATTTTCAGGTCTTTTAGTTATGAGGGTCCTGCATGATTTTGGCTAATAATTTGTTATTTCCTTGACACGGCAGCTCAAGCTGAATCTGCGAAAACGGAAAGAAAACCTAAAAAAGCAAGGGAGAGGGGTGAGTAAATTTTCAAGTCTATTAGCTATGAGGATCCTGCATGCCCATGTGAAACAATGAAAGATAGAACTTGGTTTAATGATGATGGATTTGAGCTGTTTTGTCTTAACAATATATATATATTTCTCAGGTGCATCAGAGCCAAAACAGAAAGAAAAGAGGCAGAAGAAAGGAACATCTGGTTTTCTTGCTCCTCTTCCTCTTTCAGATGCTCTAGTGAAGTTTTTTGCTACCGGTGAAAATGAACTAAGTCGTGCTGATGTTGTGAAGAGAATATGGGACTACATAAAAAAGAATGATCTTCAGGTTTGTTCTGTTGTCTTCTTTTGTTGGTTATACATGGTTCTGATTTTTGGTAAAGAAGCTTGGATGATAAAATCTCCTTCTATGCAATGCTATGTTACTTGGACACCGGTATGGTTAGATTTTTCTAAGTTTTTCTATATATTTGAAGTAGTGTCGGACACAAATGTTGGACACGTGTACTTCAAGAATGAAGAAGTCCGATAAACATAGATTCAACGAGTATCTGGACCTCTTCGGAAAGTCGTATATGCTGGCAATTAGTAGCTTACTTCTGACCCTCGTATACAAACATATTATATGCTCAATCTATGTTCGTAGTTGCAGTGCATCATATTATTCACTTATATATATATATATATATTGTTTTGGAGAAATTTATCTACATTGTTCAAATCTATTGTCAAATCTCTAGCAAGAATTCTTTATGCTTATTTTTGTGTTTCGAAAGGATCCATCTGATAAGAGGAAGATCTTATGCGACGACAAGCTCAAAGAACTTTTCGAGGTGGACTCCTTCAATGGCTTTTCCATGACAAAGCTTCTGACTACTCATTTCATCAAGCTGGAACAGTGAGTAATTTCTTCTGTGTATATAACATAAACATAAGCCTGGAACTAAAAGTGGGCAATTTTGCTTGGGGAATGAAACTAGGGTTCTTGCTGTTGTCTGGTAACTGTAACTTTCAATTATGTACTACAAAACTGCAGCAGCATCTTTTGAGGAAGAAGTCTAAAACTTTCTGCTTTTTGCCCTCGTATGATCATCATCAGATATATGCATGTATGTTAAGTGCTTAACATACTTGCGCTCGTAGATTCTCGTATATTCATGTAAAATTAAAAGAGTTTTATCCGCATTAAATCAACTTGATGTTGTTATCATATTGATAGATAATACTATTTTCTCAAAATGCACCAATGGTTAGAAAGTTGTACATTGAAAAGATTCGAATTGTCAAATGTAGGTATGTGGATTAATTTTTAAATTTGAGCATAATATAGGGACTAAAACTATAATTTGATGGATTAAATTATTAAAACAATGATAATTTTTTTGAAAGTTTTATAATTTTTTATAAATAAAATATGTAAATAATTTTGATAACAAGAAATTGTAAATTAGTTCAATTCCCTAAAATTTAAACTTTAATTTCGGGCCCATAATAGAAAAAAATCCTACCTTTACCTTAGATAAGAGACTGTTAAAAATTACACGAATCAAACAATCTTAGTGATTAAAGAGATGATTATTATATCTAGAGATTTTGGGTTTGAGCAGTAGCACTAGTGACTGTAGGATATTCGAGCGTCATTATCAAATGGTTAATAGTATTTAAATAAGATATTACTACTTATATCACCTAGATTCGTAAAAAAAAGACTACATGATTTTTTTATTAAACTAAGGTGAATATAAAATAATATTTGTTCTAAATACTCTTAACCATTTGGCAATGATCAATTAATTATCATACTGTAGTCGCTGGTGTTCGAACTCGTAATATCTAGAAACAACAATGATTCTTTCAAACTACTGTGTGAAATTTAAATGTATTCAAATGTTTGATCTCTAAAAATATTGTAACAACAATAATATTAATTTATAAACTATAATTAAAATCCTTTTATCTCTTTTATTAAATGAAAAATGTTACAAATTTATTACTTTAAAAAAAAGAAACTTTTGACTTGGACGTTTCTAGAAATTAATAATTTAGACACGTGCCTAATCCAAATCCAAATCCAAATCCAAATCCAAATCCAAATCCAAATCCAAATCCGGACTCCACGAGAGTGGGAAAAGAAGAAGAGAGAAGTGAGGAGTTAGTTGAAGTGGTGGCAAACCCCAAACCTTAAAAGAAACGGTCAAACTCCAAAAGCAACGGTTCACGTGTAATAAAAATCTCATCTTTCTCTCTCCTTGGCCGCCAAATGTGGATTCAAAGCAATCAGTTACCAAACTTACAGTTAGCTAAACTTCAGGAGAGAAGGAAACAGAACAAATCTTAAAGTTCCCAAAAAACAAAAACGGATAAACAGTCACTTTCTTCATCTTCTTCTTTTTAGTTTTGTTGTTTTTTTCCCTTTTCAAAAGATCAAATTTTTAACAAATATGGCACAAGCCCAAGCTGAGGAAAAGCCTAAAGGAGAACCCCACGACAGGTTTCAAATGAAAGATCATCAACCCATTTCCATGGCTCCTGCGAAACCGACAACCAGTTGTAATTCTCCCATCTCCATGGCCGCTGCGAAACAGACGATGGGTTGTGGTAGTGGTGGTGCTACTAGTGGCAGTAACAACAACGGCAATGGTGTAACGTTCAAATTCAATGCACACGCGCCGGAGTTCGTGCCGAAATCGCTTACCCAAATGCCCATCTCGGATTATTATTACCCTTGTTTCCATTACCTCGGTGGTGCCGCCGTCTCTGATTTGTTCTTCCTCGGTGACCAAGAACGCTCTGCTTATTTGAATGCTAACCCTAGTCTCTCGATCCCTAATTGTTCTTCCAAGACTGTTCTCACTGATGATCTCCGCCAAAAGATCATCAAACAGGTCATCTTTTCTGGGTTTTGTTTGCTTTATCTTTGTGATCATTAACTGTTTGATATATCTCCTCTCAACAATGAATGGTTAGGTGATAACGCCTCCTTGGTGTGATGTGGTCCTGCCTGTGTGTATGAAACAGGTGGAATACCAGTTCAGTGACATGAGTCTGATCGCGAACGAATCGTTGTCGAAGCAAATAAGTAAAGATCCTGAAGGTTATGGTATGGAAACTTATGAATCCACCATTTGTTATTGTTAAAATTTTCAATATCAAGACAATTTCACTGATGGTCAATGAGACCTCATTAGAGTAAGCAAGGTTAAGGCTTTCGAATTAGTTTCGGACTTTCGAACGGATCGAATTAGTTGTTGAGTTGATTATGTTGTCCTGTGCTTAAACAGTTTTTTCACTGATAAGTATTGGCCTTGCTTTAGTGCCTGTATCTTTTATTGCTTCAACAAAGAAAATCAAGTCCCTCATCACCAACCACCAGTTGCTGGCCCAAGCACTTCGCTCCTCCTCAAAGCTTGTAAGTTCTTTGGTTCCATTGTTCTTGTTCGATGCGATAAGTGAAATTCGGGTTCTTTTTAAGTGATGATCTTTGTTCTTTTGATGTGATCTACTAACATTCTTGGAAAGGTTGTGAGTGATGATGGCAAGAAGATTCGTCGTAAGCACCCATTCACCGAAAAAGAACGAGAACAAGTGCAGGTACGATAGGGGGATTTTCTTAAGATTTTGTCTGGTTTTTTTTTGGTATGGTGCAAGTTGTAATCTACTTTTTCCTTTGTTTTGCAGTCTCGTACTGTTGTTGTAGAGAATTTACCTGAAGATCACTCTCATCAGAACCTTGATAAAATCTTTAATGTTGTTGGGAGGTTTGATTTTCGTCGCATCCCGTTTTTGTTTCTGGTTTGTTGTTGGATATCTGGAATGATTCTTTTGCGGCTCATACGATTAGTGTTTTCATACAGTGTGAAGAACATCAGAATATGTCATCCCCAGGAATCCAATTCTTCTCGTTCAAAGAACGAGTATTTTATGTCTAACAAGGTACGGAGGTCGGAATCGAACCTGTTTTCTTAGTTAACCTAGAGATTATGACAGTTTGCTTCATGATTTCTTCTCTGTTGTTGTTCATTAAGCTGCATGCACTTGTGGAATACGAGTCGACGAAGTTTGCTGAGAAGGCGGTATGTTGACTTAGTTTTTCTGCTTGAACTTCTTGTTGTGATCTGATTGTTTTAGTTCTTTGAATTCCTCTTTTGCAATGCCATTTAAAGCTTATGCATCCGACGCAGGTTGAGAAGCTAAACGACGAAAGGAATTGGCGAAAGGGGCTTCGAGTAAGGCTGCTGCTTAGACTCTCGGTATGTTGTGTGCGTCTTTCACGATCCACATATGATCTGTTTGAATGCTCTATGCTTAATAGAAACCATTCACACCATCTATTTTGGTACAAAACACAGCCTAAATCAGTTCTGAAAACCCGAAAATCAGAATTCGATGGCATACTAGACGACGAAGATTCACCCCATGCTGAACACTCCGAAGGTTCGCCACCAAATGCTGAATCAATTGAGAACAATGTAAGCAACAGTGTTGATTAAACATGTTCATTGTATGGCTCCTTTGCCTTACAAGCTCACTGGAAAAAATTCATCATCCGTTAGGCTGAAGATAGTGCAATGGGATTGAAGAAGGGATGGTCCAAATCACGCGGGAAACTTCGGGGGTGCTCCCAAAACCACACCGGACGTGACCTGCTTTCTGGATCTCCTCAACCTAGCAATGCAGCAGTCCAACGCGAAGCATCGATGAAACAGATGTTGAAGGGCCCGAGAATGCCGGATGGAACCAGGGGTTTCACCATGGGACGAGGCAAGCCGTTGAGTTCACCGTTGGAGGGATGACGAATTTGCACATTTTTTCCCCATGTCTGCTATCTGATATTAACCAAATACTACTGAAAATAGGCTCTGCATTTTTCCCGAAAGCAGCACGAAATGATCATGGTCATTTCCTTCTGGCACACCAATTTTTCTGGGTTTCTGTTGAGTATAATGCTTTGGATCCATCAGCTTTCTGCTTTGAATTTTGTATTGTATCCGAATAATCCGATCGAATCGTTATATCTTTTTCTTCTCTCTCATTTATCAGAATCTGTGAATCAACTCTATTCTAAACAATAAACATGCCTTGTGGGGCAAGGCAGAGAATTGAAACAGGGAAAGACTTGAAGAAACTAATAAGTAGCGTTGCCTTATGGGGCAAGGCAGCTCAGTCCAGGCTTTTTTTGGATAAATTGGGTTAGCCATTGCATTATTTATGTCCTTGAGTGAACTGTGGTGCGTGAACTTTTAAATTTCATTTTATTTTATTTAATTTTAATTTTAATTTTAATTTTTTTGTCTATATTAATTCTTAAATTTACATTTCCAGGTGGGTAGGAGTGTTGAATTGATTTGATTTGATTTAAATTTTAATTGTGTAAACTTATTATTTGATTTTTTTTTATAAAATTTACTAATTTTATTAAAAAGGAAATATCTCGAATTACAATGAAAATTTACAATCATAATTGAAAACTAAGCATATAATTAGGATATTTTCTTAAAATCATTTGACACAACTACCAACTTAAGATCGCGTAAAGACCAAACAAGAAAAGATTAAAAAATCATATCAAAACTCGAACAAGTATAGATATAACAATTTTGATCGTATCGACAAACGAACCGCAAAAGATGATAAAGTTATTGAAAGATCACCGACAAAATCGTAAATTAGAGCCGAGCGACGTGAAAAGAATCCATAAACGTAAATCAAGTATTTGAATATGTTTCGAGGGTCCAAATTATCAAAATCGCAAATTATTTTGATAATTTAATCCTATTACATATGTAGCAATTATACCTTTTATAAATGCATTATAGATCGATTTTTTTGTTTATTAGTTTGGAGTGTTTACAAGATAGTATTTATCCGAAAGACTATGAGTCATTTGAAAATGAACGTTCAAACATCTATGTAGATGTCGTGTTTGAATCAATATCTCTAAGAATAACAATCATCTCTTTAACAACTAAATAACTTAGCTCGGGCTAAATCGATATATAAATTGATCTGGGATGAAATTCTCATTATAAAATAATAAATCTAAAAGATAAAAGAGTAATATTGACGTTGATAAAATGTTAAAATAACCTACGTCAGTTTAGTAGATCTATTATTTTTCCATTACTTGATTTAAAATGAAAAAAAAATAAATTAAAGGGCCAAAAGAGACAGAAAAATCCAAGGGCTGAAAAGACTTTCTAAACAAATTCAAGGGTAAAAATGTCATTAGGTCTAAAACGAATATAAAGGTACGAAAATGAAAATGTAAGTATAATACAATGATTAAATTGGCAATTGAACCTAAAAGAAAACCAGAGAGGAGCAGACAAATGGTAACCCAAATTCCAAAGAGACAGTGAAGCCTCCATTTTTATATTTGAAAAAAAAAACTTAAACGGAAAGAAGCAGGATTAGGGTTTCGCAGAGAAGAAGTCTCTAGAGAGAGAAAAGTTATTAGATAAATTTCTGTTTTATATATATATATATATAAACTGTATCAGCAACAAAGAGAAAAGTAAAATAAACCAAAGTAGAAGGCTGAAGAGAGAGATAAATCCGGAACATGGGAAAGAGGCAACGATGTTATTTGGACATAAGTATAGGTGAAGAGCTTGAAGGAAGGATAATAGTGGAACTGTTCAATGATGTGGTGCCCAAAACTGCAGAGAATTTCAGGGCTCTTTGCACTGGTGAAAGGGCATTGGTCCTATCACCGGTGTGCCTCTTCACTACAAGGTCTCTCTCTCTTTATTCATGTATTTTTTTTTGTTTTAATTTGGGTTGTTTGGTTATCTGAGTTTATGTTGGTTTTGGTTTTCTGGGTTCGTGTTCTTGGAATGAAAGATTACTGTTTGTTTTCACTCTTCGAATTTGTTTCTCTGGAGTATCGGTAGATGGAAATCTTTTAGATCTTTGAATATATGGATTCATGTTGAGTATTGGTGTCAACTTTGATAATTTGTTAATTGATCATTTGAATTGTAATATTTGAAATAGTTGGGGTTTTGATGCTCTTGAATCAATAAGATAGTCTTGGTTTTGATTTCTTTTTTTCAGAAAAGATGTTTCGTTGCTTAATTATTAACTATCTTCCTTTGGATGGGAACTTCAGTTTTGTTCCGTTTGAATGATACATTTATTTATTTATTTGTATTATTTTAGGGAGTTCGTTTCCATCGAGTTATCAAAGGATTTATGGTACAAGGTGGGGATATATCCTCTGGTGATGGTACCGGAGGAGAGTCGATTTATGGTTTGAAATTCGAAGATGAAAATTTTGAATTGAAACATGAAAGGAAAGGAATGTTATCTATGGCAAACTCTGGTCCTAACACAAACGGATCTCAGTTCTTCATCACTACTACTCGCACTTCTCATTTAGACGGTAAACATGTTGTATTTGGTAAGGTGGTCAAAGGAATGGGAGTCGTTCGTTCGATTGAGCATGTAACCACCGGTGAAGCTGATCGCCCCACTGTGCACGTTACAATCACTGATTGTGGAGAAATCCCGGAGGGGGCAGATGATGGGATATCCAACATTTTCAACGATGGTGATTCTTATGCTGATTGGCCAGCTGACCTTGACGAGAGTCCTAACGAGCTCTCTTGGTGGATGACTGCCGTAGATTCTATTAAGGCTTTCGGAAATGAACATTATAAGGTAATTGGTTTATACATGTTTATTAGTGATTGAATTGGTTCATTGTCACACGGGATTGTGCTTTCATACAACGCTCTTGCGATATTTGATATCTTAATGGTGCTCCTAATCGCCATTTGTTTTAGTTCTCCTTTGAGGCCTCATTTTTGCTAATGAATGTGCTAACAGAAACAAGAGTATAAGATGGCTCTCAGAAAGTACAGGAAGGCTCTACGCTATTTAGATATTTGCTGGGAGAAAGAAGGGATTGATGAAGGTAACAACATTTCTTTGCTCTAGAGGGTATCATCCTTCTCTTATAAACGAAGTTGTAAGATTGTCGATTCACCATTGTTGTTTTGCATATACTGTTTCCTGGCTTTGCAGAGAAGAGTTCAAGTTTGAGAAAGACGAAATCCCAGATATTCACAAATAGTTCTGTAAGCTTCATTCGTCACTCTTCGACTGCCTATCAATTTTTTAGTAGCACTATAGAGCTCGAGTAATTATCAACCTTGGCTGAACTATTATTGTTTTGATATCCTAGAACTGATTAAACATTGATTATTATTGTTTTATGTCTTCCCGGTTGACTTTTTATATGTACTGAACCTAGTTATCTTGCAATTTTTCCCTAATACTTGATGGGCTATGTGGATTTAGGCCTGTAAACTAAAACTAGGGGATTTGAAAGGAGCGCTATTGGACACAGAATTTGCAATGCGTGAAGGAGAAAACAATGTGAAAGCTCTGTTCCGGCAAGGTCAGGTTAGTGTATCTCTTGGTGTAACAAGTTTAATCTCTTCAACGTCAACGGCGTTAGCGTTTGGTCTAAGCTAATCATCCCTCCTGAAAAAGTTGTTGACCATGAACCTTGCACAGGAGCTGATGTTACATCTTGTTCAGTTTTCTTCCTGATGTTGCACTTTCTGTCAACTCATGCACGCATTCTTGTCCTAACGGTTGTGATAATTATCTTCCAGGCACACATGGCACTTAACGATGTAGATGCGGCTGCTGAAAACTTCAAGAAAGCTTTGCAGTTGGAGCCAAATGACGGTTTGTAATGAACTTGGCTACGATGAACTTAATAGGATTATTCTTATTGACATCAAGGCTGTTTATATTGTCAACAATGTGAACTTGCTGAGACCTTTTGATAACATTTTCCTATGCATTCCATTCAGGTGGGATAAAGAAAGAGCTTGCTGCTGCTATGAAAAAGGTTCGTAGACCAAATGGAATACTTAGTTCCTCTAGGCACCAAACATATGTAAACAAATGTATTTATGGAACTAAACTTGGTGAGCACAGATCAACGGCAGACGTAATGAGGAGAGAAGGCGATACCGTAAGATGTTCCAACCAAACCCAACTGGTATGTCGAGTGTGCTCTGCTTTTGGCTTTGTTTGTATTCATTTTCTCTCGTCCCTGCTCGACATATGAATGTACTTACACATGGGAATGTTCAATGCAGTTGCAGATGAGCAATGATGTTTTGAGAGCTTCAATGATCTTTTGCAGTTGCTTATATGGTTAGGTAGTGTCATCTGGTTCGGGGTTCCTTCATTAGGATCTCTTATGTTTCGGAGCAAACGCTAGGGTTCGGTTCGGGTATATGGTGTCTGCTTTCTGGTGCAATTGTTCGATAAAACTGATGAGATCGTGTGGTTCGTTTAGGAAACAATGAAAGCCTTGAATAGAGAACTTGTCATGTTGGTTCTATCAGGTTTCAATGGGAGAGGAAACATTTCCGAGGAGAATTAAACTGTGACTAAATTATTTTTTGATTTATCAAGGTGTCTAACGTTACAAACGTTACTTATTTAGGTGTTTGGACCATCAACGATGTTAATTTCTTCGTCAAGTGACACGTGTTGTGATATGATATTTTAAAATTTTTATTTAAAATTAAAAAATTAAAATTATATATATATATATATATATATATAAAGAAAAAGAATAAGCATTTTGAAATAACTCAAAAGCTTTGAAAACCTTCATTTCAACCCTTAAACCCACGCCGATCATCATCTTTTACCGTCGACGAAGTTCTACCCGACTTCATATCTCCTTAGCAACCAAAATCCCCATGATATCGTGGTCGATCGACGACGAATCGACGTTTTATACCCCGTAAAGCCTAGGATGAAAATCGTGATCCCACGCGATCTTGACGGCAATTGCGACCGCGTATGACTACGATGATGACAGAGACTACGTTGACGGTGATGGTCGTGTCAGGAAAGGACGGTGGCGACGGGTTAATGATAAAATTTAGGGATTTTATGTATTTTGGGGTCTTTTATAATTTAAGAGAAATTAGGGTTTTTTTATAATATAACAATATTTTAAAAAAAATTAAATTTCAAATTTATCAGATTGTGACATGTGTCAATTAGTGGAGGAAAATTAACGTCGTTGATGGCCTGGACACCTAAATGAGTAACGTTTGTAATATTAAGTACCGGGATGGATAAAAAATAGTTTAGACACCTATTAGAGAATTTAGTTATAGTTTGGGCCCTTATTTGGGTATTAAACCATATATTAAAAATACCTAGACGAAGAAACGGTATTGAAACATAAGAGAAAGGCCTGGAAATTAAAATCCGAAGGCAAGAAAAGAAAACAATGAGTGTGTTTGGAGGAGATAGCTGGGGAAGAGAAGCACAAAATCGAAAGCGAAGAATCGATGAAGTTGTTTTAGAGGGGATCGACGTTGATGGCTCTTCTTGCAAGAAGCTGTCTTCCGGCAAATACGCCTGTCTTGTCTGCCCTCGCAACCCCATCTTTGATACCCCTCTCATGCTCTCTGTAAGCTGCACTTGTATTCACTCTGAATTCTATTGTCATACTTAAAAACCCAGAAATTTAGAACCCAATTTGATTATGTTTTAGTTATATTGGTGAGGTTAACTATTTGAACTGATTAGAAGGCATTTTATTGTTTACTTTCATGTTTGTAACTAATGGTTATAGTTTGACTCAAATGTTTATCCGAATTAAGGCGAATTTTGAATATGGATATGTGTCGGGTTATGTTATTTTTCCTGGTTTGTAATATTCCTAGTAAGATCATAACTGTACCATGTTTGAGTTGTGTTGGATATGGAGGCTGGACTTTGTTTGGATAAAGGGAAAGTGTAGTTGTTGTTCAGGATTGAACCCGGAACCGGATAAGTCCCTTTTGACATTTCATCTTTAGTCTATTCGAGCCATGTTCGATATGGATACTTTAGCAAACATGAAACATGAATCCATATAAGTTGGATGTACTCTTATCAGTTTTTCAATACTTTTTGTATCATTACAAGCTTATGAAATGAGGGAGGAGATGTTATAGTCAGGATGCTGATCTTGAACCTTGAAGTTCCGACACAGAGCGTTAATCGCTTGCTCTTTCAGCTTGCCGGTTCCTTTTGTATATTGTAGGATAGCCATTTGACAAGGGAGCTTTTACATATTTCTGTTTCCCTTCCTAGCTTGAATTAGTGTCTTTCTTTTGCTTGAATTTGGAATATAGACTTAAACTCTGTTTTTTTCTTCTTTTCTCTTGGATTTTGAGTGGAAGGGAGGGGAGGCTATGTTGAAGGCAGCTAACTTCGTAAATTTTAAGGTTTATTTACGTAATTCGAGCTTTAGTTGAGACTTGAGAGTTTTTAATTATTATGTTTTTTTTTTCTTGTTTACTTTCTTCTTATAAGATAGTTAACTTGTTTTCTTAAACGTTGGATCGGTTTCACAGATGCATTGCAAAGGATCGCGCCATTCAGCTGCAAGGTCCAAGGCGAAGGAAAAGGAACTCACGAGACAAGCTGAAATAAACAAGAGACTAGCTTTGCAAGGCTCACCTACTACTTGTTCTGTTAACTCTTCCAGTGCCATCAAGAAAAATGCTCAATTAGCTACCAAACCATTGATCCAAATGGCTCAGACTGCTGCTGCTGAGATATTTGGTAATAAAAGACTTGAGCATGATTTCAGAAGTGAAAACCGTGACATGGTGCTGAGGCAGAACAATATTAAAAACGTGACACCGGACATCTTTCAGAATCACTCTTATCCGGATAATGAAACGTCGGACAAGTTGATACAGCAGCATCTGAATTTCCGGGAACATAGAGAGAGAGAACTTAAGTTCACATCCGCTGGTTGGAAACGCGACTGCCATGGTAAATGGTACAAAGATGAAAATGTGAGCTTCTTTTCCCCTAAACATAGCTTCAACACTATTTCAGCATAATTGCCTTCTTTTTCATATAACTTGCTTGCAGGTTGAATTTGACTCGGATGAAGAAGATCCGAACACCTCATTTTGATTGAAGATTCACCAGGAACCCATTGGAAAATTGTTTCTTAGAGGTAAGAAAGTTTCTTCGTAAGTTCGTGTGTAATTGATTAGGTACCAGTTCTTAGTGGTTAGCTTTCACCCATCTGATCTCTGCAATGGATAACGATCTGTCCCAAGGACCACGGCTCAATGTGCTGTCTGGTTTCAGCTTTTCCAACAGCTGTTCCATTAGCCCCAATAAAAGTAGAAATTCCCATGAAATCAACCCCCATCACTACCCCCATCCCGAGTCTGGTGATGCATTGAGTCGAGAGATGTTCTTCGAGGAAGATGAAATCAACTTGGATGTTTCTGTATTCCTGCTGGATGAAAGTCGACAGAGAACCCTTAAACTTATGTTCATCTAGTAGGAAATCGAATCATCCAAGCACATTTCATCTTTGTAAAAAGGGTTTTTCAGCTAGATCCATTACCAAATATAAATAGACAAAGTCGTTAATTATCAACCCTAAACCTTTCTTTACACTCCGTTATACTGTTTTCATGTTTCCAAAGTTGAAAACTAGAAATAACAAAAAATGAACATGTTTTTGCATCTGCCTGAGATATGCTTCTTTTGTACTAACTTTTGCAAAAAGAAAAATCATGCATTTATGCATTCAATCTTAAGATGTTGTATACATCCATTAGGTTTGTGTTTCGAGCCTTCGGATTAGGTTGGTGTAAAATTTACTTTCATCTTGCATTTCTGTCAAATAAATCATACTAGGTGATGTAACATTTTTAGTAATGTGTCGGGTAATGTTATATTTCGGAAGTCATATTCTCATAGTTAATATTACATTTCGTGATCTTATCTAACTCGATAGAATTAATATTTACTTAAGACACAAAAGAAAACGAGAAGTGATGCATGATTTACATGCGCATTATGCAGGAGATGTATACCCATCATAGATGCGTAATTTGACAGGCAATGACTGGTTATGATTATGGTTTGTTTGTTTTTTTCAGTCTCTGACACTCATCCATGGCCATGGTTGGTGTTAGTTATTTTCAAGAAGGATTCAAGTGGTGAGCTTTAAAAGTAGATCCAGATTCATACGTGGTGCTTTATCATATACAAAATGTTTCGAACAAAAATAATATATTACAGGGATGGACCGAGAGAATATTAAATACTTAAAAAAATTAAATTCTGATATATTTAATGAACAAAAAGCTTGTATGATTTATTATATATATAAGAGAATTGATCAAATTATAATGTGTAAAACCATTTTAGTTTTATATCTTTTTAGGATTGTTGAATTGAGTTAAATCAAATGTTGAGATTAATAGTAGAAAATGAAAAGATAATAACTAGAAAAGAAAGTTAATCTCAAACGATACTAAAAAAGTTATAAAATTAAAAGAATTTTACATAGTATAAATAGATCCTAACCCATATATATATGTATGTGTGCGCGCGCGAGCGTGCCTGCATGCCTGCAATTCTTTTCGTTAAGTGGCACATGTCATGATCTAGTAATTTTAAAATTAAAAAAATTAAAATTATATATTTTAAAATACATAAACATTTAACTTTGAAAATCTTCATTCCAACTGTTAAATCTACGCCGTCCGTCGCTCTTTGTCGTCGACGAAGTTTCACTCGACCTCACCTCCTCCGGTGACCAAAACATCTATGAAATCGTGAGCAATTGATGGTAAATCGATGTTTTATACCCGCAACCTCTATTATGAAAATTGCGATCTCAAGCGATTTTGATGGCTAATCGACGATAATTATGGCGAGATGTGACTAAGAGGATGGCATAGATTACGTCAATGACAGTAATCGCGACCAGAAAGGGCGACGACGGGTTAAGGTTAAGATTTGAAGATTTTGGGTTTTTTATATAATTTAAGAAATATTAATTTTTTTTTATAAATATAATAATATTTTTTAAAAAATAAATTTCAAAATTATCGATTTGTGACATTGTCACTTAACAGAAGAAATTAATGTCCTTGATAGCCTAGGCAATTAAAATGATAACGTTTATAACGTTAGGCATCGGAATAAGTCAAAAAAATACTTTAGCCATCTATTCGTGAAAAGTGATATAGTTTTAAAACTTATTTTGATAGTAAGCCTTTGAAAAACTACATCGACAATTAAAGAGAAATTTGAAAGTCTTATTAACTTCTCAAATCTCACATTATTTATATATGAGATTTTTTTAATATGTGTTTATTGAGTGATTTAAAACGAAAATAATAGACATGTCTCACTTTTATCGTTATTGTCCAACTTATGCTCGTATAATTATGTGTCTTCGATAAGCATCATATTTATTTTTTTTCTTTTTAAATAAAATTTATATAATTTTTTATATTTCAAAAGTTAAAAACTTTTACCTTAGGGGCATAGACATCTTAAAAATTGTTTTCCAAAAGACGTGTCCTATAAATGAATGCTATGAGAAATAATCGAAAATTGATATTATAATAATAACTCCCAATACATTTTTAGGCATCTAAACTATATGTCGGAGGATTGATTTTTATTGTCTATTTTTTTTTGTTAAAAATAGATGTTTAATATTTTTTTCCTGTTACACTTTTAGATTATGCCGTTAAAAAAATCGTTAAATGATTCGTGTCATGTTTATATTTTTTATTTTTTAAAAATAAAATATTAATTTAAATATTTTTTAAAAGAATTTAGTCGTGACATGTGTAACTTAATATATTTTTAACAATAGACACCTAAAAAATGTATAAGAGAATATATTACATATTTTTAAAGAAAACATTTTAGACACTAAAATTAAATTTAAAATAAAGTTTAGACACTTAAAAATAGATTAAATAGTTTTTAAACGACGTTGGTGAAGACATAAAACTTGGATCTATTTACCCACATGATTAGTTCAAATAGTAAATAACTCGATATAATTTAAGTAAATTTCAAATTCGAATTCTCATATATATATATATATATATATATATATATATATATATATATATATCCATCAAAGACTCGTCCACCTTAAATATACGACTAAAAAAAATAGCTTGGATCCACTTCCTTTTTAATTTAAAAATTAGGGATATATATATATATCCATCAAAGACTCGTCCACCTTAAATATACGACTAAAAAAAATAGCTTGGTTCCACTTCCTTTTTAATTTAAAAATTAGGGAGGAAAACGTTCCATCGATTTAGGTTTAAAGAAACTCCTAATCTCACCTGGAATTTGCAATTCTCGAACAGTTTGGCTTCCTCGAGTTCAGAGTTTCGCAGCTATGACTGAGGTAATCAAATCTCCCAATTCTTTTTCTTTTGATTTCTTCACTTACAATCATTGAAGAAATCAAATCCCTCCGATTTATTATAGATGAATTCCCTTGATCTTTCTCCAAACAGTAAGATTTTTCAATGAATTAAGTTTCTGTTTTACTCGTTTTCCCTGTTATTTGATGTCATTTCTCAAGTTTAATCTCTCTCTCTCTCTCAGTATTGGGTGAGTCAGGGGAATAAATGGTGCGATGTCTGCAAAATTTTCATATCGAATAACCCGTCAAGTATTCGAAACCATGAGCTCGGCACACGGCACAAAGAAAATGTTGCTCAGAGGCTTACCACTATGCGAAAAGAGAGTGCAGCCAAAGATAAGGAACAAAAGGATGCCGTTCGTGCTCTTGAACAGATTGAAGCTGTAAGTAAACCCTCAATTAGGTTTTCCCGTTTCATTCTTTATACTTTTTTTTAATTACTATTAGTGTTTCTTAACTGTGTTTTGCTAGAAAGCTAAGCGGAGTTATCAGAAGGATGTTGCTGGTTTTCAGGCGAGGGACTCTAGCGCCCACGAATTGGATGGTCAAGAAGGTGAAGTACACAAGTCATCTTCAACTTGCATTTTATTTAAATGGTAAAAGTCATGGTAGTGATACAAGTTTTGGGTTGTTCTTGAAATTTTGAGTTGCTGTCTTCACCTGCCTGGATGGCTAATTGTATGGTTTTAAAATTCTTTTGTTTCTACTTAGGGCAATGTTTAACGCAGTATGGTATTCTGTTTAAATACGAGAATATCAAACCTAGGCTATATGCTTTGGCTTTCGACTGAGATTTACTGCATTGCTCGAGTATTTACATAACAGCGAGTCTGGCTGTTAACCACCCTTCTTGCTATTGCTATCTTTCTTAACAGTGGAGCTTTTGAGTTTGGATTATTTCAGGAAAATGAATGTTTAATCTTGTTTGGTAGTGTACCAAATAATAGTCCATATATGTGTGTTAGAATCATGACTACGAGACATGTTAAACTCATTTGATTGAAGATAAACTGAACCGAATGGATCAATAACTTCCATTGGTTGTGCTCTTCGTCAAAGTCAGTTTGCCTGCTCCTTTTCCCCTGTTGGTTTTCCCTTATCTATTATCAAAATCACTATGTCACTATTGGATTTTAGTTTTAATCTTCAGTAGCATATGATGTCATTTCATTTATTTTTCATTTTACCTAAGGGCTTATTACTATTCTAACTCTTCCAGTTTGATGGCAGACTGGGAGTATGACAGTAGTTCAGGTTATTACTACAATAAAAACAACGGTTTATGCTATGATCCAAAGTCGGGATTTTACTATTCTGAATCTATAGGTATGAATCTGCAATTGAACTTTTAAGATTTTCCCTTTCTTTCTTATCTAAGAAAGAAACATACTAGATTAAATGTTGTTTTTGGTATATTTACTTAAGAGGGAATGCCACAGGCAGGTGGGTGACTCAGGAAGAGGCATATGCCAAGGTTCAAGGTTCTTCAAATACCAAATCAGGCGGTCCTATTTTTAAAAATCCATTTTCTACTCCAGGGGCAGGAGCAGCTGCAGGTAGCAAAAATGTTGCTAAAAGTCGAAATAATATTGCACCCGGGCCTGTCCTTTCAGCTACTTTAAACCCCATGAGATCTGTCAAAGGTGCTCAATCCTCACTTTCTGTTAAGAGAAAAAGACAAGATGAGAAGAAACCGAAGGCCGTATCTAAAGAAGAGGCAGCTGCACTCAAAGCAAGGGAAGCTGCGAAGAAGAGAGTTGAAGAGAGAGAGAAACCGTTGCTCGGGTTGTATAAAGGATCTCGTTGACACGGAATAACTCGAGCAAGCACTCTGGCTGTTCTTTATTCAAGGGGGTATGCTTCAGCATGCTACTAAACTTTCTTTTATCTTCTCTTGGTTCAGGGAGCGGGGCATCTTAAATTGACCTTATTTCATATACTGTATGACTATAATCGAAGTCATTACTCTAATCCCTTGTTTGTTTTTGCATTTATACTTATTTGCATCGACTGCAGAAGCAAAATGTCTTTTAAGGAGTGGATGACAGAACTTTGGCTGTATACTATATAGTCAAGTAACTGGTTTAGTTGTCTAAGCTGTTTGTTTCATTGATTTATGATATATTAAGCTGGAATACCAAATGTGTGTTCTGGTTAAAATCTCTGTTACAATTAGAAATTCCGAACTGATTTATGGCATAAGATTGATTTACTTGAATTGCATTTCGTTGCAGATACCGAGAACATGTTAAAGCAGGTTAGGATATTTTACATGACTTGAATGTTGCATTGCCGTTAGAGAATGAACCGAAATGGTAGTCCTCAATACATTCCTGTTGTAAAATACTGAACTTGTGTTGTGTGCTAACTAAAAGTCTTAGTATTTGGGATCCTTTGTGTTGAGAGTTTTATAAAAATTTTCTGTTAATTACCGATAAGGGTTGATTCAAGTGGTAAACAGTTTGATATCGCTTAAGGAATGTATTGAGTTTGAGTCTTTGGTGGCGTTTATTTTTGCAGAGGAAAAAGGTCTGTAGTCTGCGGATCATATCTGCAGGCATCTGCAGCAGAAGAAGTGGATCAAAAATCTGCAGTCTGTAAGAAGAAGACCGTTTGTTTTTTAACGTCTGCAGACTGCTAATGAACTGAAATATAAATAAACTGATTTTTTAAACTTAAAAGAGTTTTGCAATACTGATATTTAAATAATTTTAGTTTTACAATACTGAAATTTAAATAATCCATACAACTACAATAATAAATTATTTAAAATAAATTAATCCATATTTTAAAATAAATCAATCCATACTAATAAATTTTTTAAAATAAATCAATCCATGTTTTAAAATAAATTAATCTATACTAATAAATTTTTTAAAATAAATCAATTTATACAACTACAATAATAAATCAATCTATATTTTAAAATAAATCAATCCATACGAATAAATTATTTAAAATAAATCAATCTATATTTTAAAATAAATCAATCCATACTAATAAATTATTTAAAATAAATTAATCCATATTTTAAAATAAATCAATCTATACTAATAAATTATTTAAAATAAATCAATCCATATTTTATAATAATTTATTTTAAAATAATTTATTTTAAAATAAATAACCTTATTCAATTATTTAAAATTATTTTAATAAATAACTATATTTTATAATTGTTCTTGAAGAAGTTTGAAGACCTTTGAAGACATAAAACCATGTCTGCACCAAGAAGAGCTCGCGCAGACGTTTGAAGAGCTTCTGTCTTCTAAAAAAGAAATAGTCTGCGAAGGCTAATGTCTGCGCGACGCAAACATAAGTAGTTTGAAGAGCTTGCACTTTGAAAACAAACACCACTTTTGTGTATGCATAAAATCCCTATTTAGAAACTTATCTACTAAAGTCAGGTACGCAACGTGAGTTGATCTGGATTAGTCAATGCTAAGCCTTGAAATCAGGAGGGTAACAAAAAAAAAAATCAATCATGTTAAAGACAAGACCCCCTTATAAATCCATGCATTCGAGCAGCGGCATTGAACCCTAGGCATTCCTCGAGTCTCTCTATTTGTAAGGTAAATAAGCCTTCCTTTCCTCCGAGACAGCCCGGTTCGATTTACAACTCGTGAGAGGAAACCACCTCAAAACCGAGCTGGTACACAATGGACCAGAAGCCATCATCCACCTCTTTCATCGAAAAATACCACGATTACTTCTAGTGGAATCTTCATTCATTGTTTCTCTGCTTTCTGATGCACCCCTGAACAGCAAAAGGTATTTCTCAACAAATACAATCTTTTATTATCATCCAAACTATTCGTAAGAGTTGGTTGTTTATTTAACTTTTTTACGTGTGTAATAATTATTGCACGAGAATTTATTGGGATTAAAAGTAGAGAGATCAAAATTTTAAGAGTACAGGGACCGGAACGACAATAAACCTTTTTAATGTACTCATATTCGTGGGAGTTGCTTTCTCCAATGATAAAACATGGTACAATTCCATCTGGTATTGCGTTATTTCAGTTCTACGTCATCAGTTTGAGGGATTTTTTTTTTTACATGAATCTCTCTTTGTCTTTTCATCTTCCTTTTGCTGCTGTCGTTTAATCCTCCTGAGCTTGACAAGCGACCTTGCTTCACCAGACATAATAGCAGCGGCAGCCATAGCTGGGTACTAAGAATGCTTTGAAATTTCTTACTCCATTGGTTCTTTAATCCATCTTAACTTACTAAACCTTCATATTAAAAAACAAAAAAAAAAAAAACAAAAAAAAAGTACTCATACTCTGTTCAGGAAATTACACAATTTTCTCAATTCATCGTTCAAATCCGACCTTAGTTCAGTTAGTAGAGCAGAGGACTATAGTTTGAGTTAGGGTCCGTTTGATAATGTTTATGGAAGCGTTTTTGGCCCGAAATTCCAACACATAAAAGCATTCCAACTCATTTTTCAGCCAAAAAATTATATTTTAAACGTGATTATTAGTTAAACCAAGAAGCTGGAAAAACAATACTTTTACGTTGGAAAAAGTTGTCTGGAGAAGTATTCCCAAACGAACAAGTTTATTTTATAATTCAAATTTTATTTTAATTTTTTTCAAGTTGAATTTATGAAATTCGAGTCGAGTTGTTTGAGTTTATGTTTAAATTTAATTATAAATATTTATATTGTTACAATATTGATTTTGATTTAAATGACTTTCTCATATATATATATATAGGTTGAAGGACTCAACTATAACATGAAAATTTAATCCACTAGTTACTAAATTTTTTTGAGTTATTCAAGTTTTATTTTATAGTTCAATTTTTTGGAAAAATAAATGGTTAACTACACGGATGATCACTTATGTTTGTGTTTTGTTCACTTTTGGTCACTGATTTCAAAAAATATGAGATATGATCACTTTCGTTTTTATTTAATTAAGATGTGATCATCACGGGTTAACTATTGTTAACAAATAACCTAATGTGTGACGTGATAGGCGGTATAATCACACATTTGGTTCATATTATTTATATATTCTCTCAATTTAGTTATATTTTTAAATAACTTTTAACGTAACGTATATATTTTTAAAAGAAAATCAAAATAAAATACTTTTATATTAAGTTAATAATAAAATATACTCCCTCTGTCCCATTAAATATGTCCATTGTTGACTTTTTTTGTCAATTTTTTTAAACTTTGAATCATTATTTAAAATTTATTATTGATAAAAATATGAACAAATATATTTTAAAAACCTTAAATCAAATAGTTTTAAAATATATATTTTGTCAAATTTAACTGTTTAAAATATTTAAAATAATCATATTCAAAATTCACATTTTTTAACTTTTTGAAAGTCAATAATGGACACATTTAGTGAGACGGAATGAGTATTTAATAAGTTAATAATTTTTTTTAAATTAATAAATATAAATTATTATGAATTTAAATAATACACAATGTTGCTTACTTTAAACCAAGCAATGGTCTTGGCTTAATGGTTGGATGTTTGTTTAGTTTCCTAAGTGACCAAAGTTTGAATCTTTTTTTTTGCCTCAATTTGTTTTCTTTCAACCAGATGGCGACACATGTCACTATTTGATTGATGAAAATAAATATATTAAATTAAAATAAAGTTAGTCCTCTAACCTAATGGTGACACTTGGCATGATATATGACATCATTCGATTAGATGATTAAATTTATTTTAATTTATTAAAAGTATGATTAAATTGAGGGAATGTGTAAATAACAATGACCAAATGTGTGATTATATCAAAATATTTAAATGTTGTTACGACAGTTAACTCAGGGTGACCATGTCTTAATTAAATAAAAACGAAAGTGATCATATCTTATGTTTTCTGAAATTAGTCACTAAAAGTGGACAAAACAAAAATATAAGTGATTCGTGTAGTTAATCTAAAAATAAATTCGAATCGAGTTTTTTAATGCGAAATCAAAGAAAAAAAATTAAACTGTGTTTTTAACAAGCATCGTTAATGAATCGATTAAATACAAATTCACACCCGAATTACGATTATCACAAACATGTCTATAATTTTACGTTATTAGAGTTGTTTGTAGTAAGCTTAATGAAGAACAGCCCAGATATCTTCGCCGAACAGTTTAATCTTCCTTTTCACTTCAATCTTCACCGTCGAACCGTCTCCGCCGTCCATGGATTTGCGATGAAGAAACACCATATCACCGGCTCTCACGTCTTTGCCGCCGAGAAACCGAAGCCAACCGACGGAAACAATGTCCTCTCTTTGCCGGAAAAAGCAAGGGAAATCCCAAGCTTTCCCGGTCTCATCGATGGCGGTGATGTTAAAAAACCGACCGCCTTCGAACCGGACCGGGAAGACGCCGAACGAATCGGAGGGGATCAGTAAGCTCTTTTCGACGTCGGTTCTCGTTAACAGCTTCGAAATGATCGACATTGTCGAATCACGGGATCGAAATCAAAGTTTCTTAGGTGTTTGGTTTGTTCTATGTTTTGCTGAATTGATTCTTTAAGTTGTCGTTCTCAGTTTCAGCTGTTGAGTGGATCGAGTGTTGTGTGTATATATATAGATAGATGAAGAAGCGCGTTCGTTTGACTGTTTCTTGGATTGATTTTCTTGTGGGGCTGAATCAAATGAAGTTGGTCAAAGACTCAAATGGATGTTTGTATTTTCCCATACTCTACGTCTTCGTGCGATTTTATTTTCTTGAGAACCAAACAGAAGATTACACCCTTTCTTTCTTTTTGCATATAATCAAATTTTGTGACCATTTGGATTAGATATATATATATTACATCATCATTCAAATGTTCATAAATTTTTCACGTGGACGTGGACCAAGCCTTGCATGTAAGCTCGATTGGGATGAAATGAGAAGATGGTTGAGAGTAATCATCACTGAAAATTAAATTATTGTATACTTCAAATGTTTTATCGATAATTTATTTTTGTCTCTAAAAAATTATAAATTTAATCATTCTTAAAATTTTAAGAATTTTAAACATAAAATAACGTGTTTATCTCTGAACCAACATTATACTGTATGCACTTCCCATGCACGAGAAAAATCACCTTCTACCCCCACACGGAAGGTCCGGACCTTACTTTTCCTTCACCTGAAAATCCAACGGTTGGGTTCCTCTCTCGAGTCCGAAATATTCGTAGCTGTCGGGATAAAAGACGAACCCCGATATTTATCTTAACATAAATTTTCTTAAATTCACACCCTTTAACATAAATTTTTACGTCCGTCCTTGTATATATAGCAACCCCACATCACACACTAGAGTACAATTTCCTTGTTAGAGACGTATAATACGAAGATAATTTTCATTATCAATAATGAATCGCTGTGTTTAAAGAAAGACGCTATTGTTTATACGATTAAAACATTGAGTTAATGATAATGACATGTGTTAATTAAACTAGGAAAATACAGTAACCAAAAATTTATAGAGTTTACGATGTTCGATTTTATAAAAAAATTTGTAAAATTATAAATTTATGCCGTCTTAAAATTATATTAATCCAAAACTCAAATAAAGATGAAATTAAATACATACTATATATTTTAAAAAAAGCATACAATCATATAATTACCCACTAATTTTCATGTTAATGGTTGTTCATGTATAAATTATAGCACTTTTAGTAATTAGAATAAATAAATAAATTTGGAGTGTTAATTATCACTTAATCATCGAAATAATGATGTCATCGCTGCCACCTCAATATATTTATTTAATTATTTCAGTAAACTTTTTGTTTCCACACTTGAGTTCGAATTAACATATGAATAAATTTTCGTTAAAAATAAATATTTAATATTTCCTTCGTTACACTTTTAGATACCTATTATTAAAAAAAATTAAGAGACACATCATATCGAAAAAAAATTAAAAAATATTTTGAAACATTTTATTTAAAAAAAAATATATATATAAACATGACACATATCAATTAACAATTTTTTTAACGGTAGACATCTAAAAATGTAATTGAACGAACGTTAAACACATATTTTAACTAAAATTCTTTTAGACACCAAAAGTTAACTTTGAGTATAATTTAAATAATTATTTTTGCATTAAGCCTAGAATTAATTATTACACATCCTCAAACTACAAATTTTCTTCTAGCTTCATCCCTAAATTTTTAAATATTTTAATTTCATTCCTAAACTTTTAAGCATTCTAATTACATCCTTAAACTATGATTGTCATTCTAAATTGGTTCATAACTCTTGTCTAATTTTTTTTCAAATTTTAGAGTTGCATATATATGGTACAGATAACCAAAGATAACTCATATAGTAATAAAACACACAAGATATATTTTTTCATGCCTTTTTATGCATTTATAAATAATGCACATCCAAACAGAGCCTAAAGTGACTACTTGAAATGGAAGACCTTAAATTTCCGAATCATATTAACCTATAATCAACAGACACAAGGGAGCGAAGCACAGAACCTGTTCATTTTTTTCTCTTACAGTTTCAGGTTAATCATATGCCTGAAGTCGAGTTTTCCGGCAATGACTTACCAAGAACCAAAACGAGGAGGAATCGAGAGATCAGGCAGGGCGAGGGTACCAAGAACCAGATGAACATTGGGTTTTATCCAAGCACGGCGGAAAGCATTGGGTAGCTTTGGTTGAAGTTGTGGCACAAATGAGCTTAAGCTAAAGTAAATATCTAAATGCGGAGTGAACCAGTTACAGGGTCGCGAGCAGAATTGGCATCTTTATGACTCAGGGAGAGGTTTGTGAACTCAGACTTGAGATCTCTACTGCTAGTGTGTCGATGGCTAGACGATAGCTGCTGCCGTTGTTGCTGTTGATTTTGGTGCTGCTGCAGCTGCTTATATAAGACTTGTAGCCTGCTGACCTCCCTCTCCAATACTTCCTGCTCAACTGATCGTAATGATTGCATAATTTAGTTTTCATCTAATACCATTTTGTTTTAATCAACTAAAGTAATTATTGTCCATTACAATACGGATCAAAAATGGCCCCTTAGATGCATTCGCCTTTCTCTACATACATATTTATGCTTTCAGAATATACACTGAAGGAAACCTTGGTTCCAAGACAAGTAACAAACAAGAACAACACATGGACCACAATATCCTATGTGCCCCCTAAAAGTTAAGGAAAATCGAATAAAAGTGGCTTGCTCATTAGTCAAGACCTAGCTTTAAGGCAGACATTTATATATTTTATTAGTGTAACAAACAAGATTATGACCAAAGTCCTCACACACCATTTTAGAATGCAACAAGGGAGTTCGCCTTGTCTAACCAACACTCAACTATCTCAACCCAACTCTCCAGTCACTTTTTTGGTCAAAGTTTGTATTTCCTTTTAAAGCATCTTCTTTGCAACTAACGGATTATAAAATCTAGCAGTATCGACCAACAGCTATGATCAGAATTCATATAGGTCCAAAATATGGACTACGTATGAATAAGGTATATAAAAATGGCTAACATGCAATTGTAATTCAGAAAAAAGGCAACATATAATCATGGCATTAGAGGTCATAGGTTGGACACATACGATATTTTATAACCTGCTCCTGAGCCAAACCCTCTAACCATTGCTTGAGAGCTTTGTTCTCCATGCTAAGAATGAGATTCTTCTGGTTGAGAAATTCAAGCTCGGCTGAAACTTCAGATCCTTCTGCCTGTTAGGTAAGAGACTATTAACACTTCATAGTAAGGCATACTGTTTCATAGTTGATTTTAAAAAACTTCTGTTTCAACAGATACTTGCCTGCAAAGCTTGAACATTTCTTTCCAGCTCAGCTATGTACTGAAGTTTACGAACCCTTGAGCGTTGAGCAAATTGCCTGCAATGAATAGTAACAAAGTATTGTAATCAAACATTTTCTATCAACATAAGGCATAAGCATCTGCATAATAACCAAATATGAATTTTGATAAGAAAAATTGAAGAATCACACAACAAAACTAAATCGAAATCACTGGTTATTAAATAAGGAAACATCAACAAAATTAAACACCATGCACAACAAAATACGAAATTTGAAGAAAGAAAGAAATAAAGAAAGAAAGAATGTATCATGTGGTTCGATTTAAAAACGAATGAAAGCATATATATACTGATGTTATCCTTTTCCATGTTTATATGCAGGATAAGCTTTCAAAACAGACTACAGAAAGCACCATCATACTCCCTATGTTCCATAACATGATAATCAAAGAGAATTCCAGTAAACCAGGAGAAAATCTGTCTGCTTTGTGGTTAAAATTCCCAGCAAGTTTAAACAGAAGAAGGTGCAACGCGAGGATCCTGCAGGCAGATTCCTTTATGATTTGGAATTTCCAGCATTGGGGCAGAGTCTAAAGAAGGTAGAGACAGACTCCTTAAAGTTAGGGAAAGATCTGGATTTTGAGTCTAAAGGCTCAGTAGTGGTTCTGTTTTCAGAAGATTACGGCAATGGAAGTTTGGAAGATGACTTACATATGATCTTTGTTTTTGGAGTTGGAAGTTCGGTTGGTCTCCGACGACAAGATGAGCATTATTTGGCAGTAAGGAGGAGATTCGAAGCTTGCACCTCTGCATCCGTTTTTTGTGGAAACTCTTGGCCTTCGTGGTTGATCTTGGTGTATATGGATTGAGTCGTTTGTTTTATTTGGCTCATATTAAAGTTGTTTCGTGTTGTGGTGTCTTTCGGGCCAAGCTTAGGTTTTAAGTGTGGTCAGTCTTATTTGAGGCTGTTGTTCTAGCTAAGGTGGATTAGGCAGAGTTTATGCTGTTATTTAGGGTTATTTTCGATTGTTTTTGGTGTTCTGTTTATGTTGGGGGTGGATTTCTGGTTGTATCATGTAATTTCTTATGTTCAATGAAATCCTAAGGCGCTCTTTTCCTCCTTCCGATGATTAAGGAGTTTGTCTTTAAACTCCTTTAATCAAGAAGGGGGTTTTTAACGAGGCCTTCAATTCCTATATAAAAAAAATTCCCAGCCAACAAACCAGAGGTACAAGGCCAAAAATGCATAAAGTAATAGAAAGTCAATGCAACCTCAAGAAACATATAATCAACGCAACCATGCCGAGAGCAGCTCTGGCTAGCATCATTTCCAAATCCCATTGCATACCAACTGACGAACCCCTTGTTAATGTAAGCATAAAAGTGATTAATCACTGATAAGTAATAACATTAGCACTCACTGCTTGGCACGTTTACTATCACCGTCAAATGAGGAAGATTTAGTGTGACAATTATCCTTCTTCTCAGAAGAAGCCTTTGCATCAAAAGAAGCAGGTTCAGCAGAATCTTGCTTTTCACTTGCAGTTGATGGAGCACCCTCCACATCTTGTGGTGCATGTGACGATCCTAAACTCTGAAGGCTGGTATTTTCTCTGAGAGAAGGAAGGCTGTTTGGATGAGACACAGCACCTGAAGAAGAATCCCATGCCCTGATCTTTTGCTTTACCAAGCTCACATCAGTGTAGAATGAGAAAAGCCGAGCATCTTGAGATGCCCAAGATGGTGCAGTAATCATATTTTTATATCTGTAGTCATCTTGAGATGCAAAATCCATGTTAGGAGCATTAGAGGCATCAAAATATGCAAAGGAGTCACTTGAAGAACGTCGATGACCTCCTTTGCGCACAGGACTCTCTGGCTCATTAAGAAGATCATCAAGCCAAGAAGGTTGTTCCTCCATCCGGATGCTTTCAGAGGAAGTGCGCTGGTGATGTGCATTTCCCTCCCTAGGCTTTTGAACTGCTCTTGACCCAATAACTTTGTTGGGGATGTAATCAGTATTCGCGGGGGCGACCAGAGGAAATGGACTTTTTGGAGGAAGTAGAGGATTCTTTCCAGAAAACATAAAATTTCTTATATTTGTTGGACACTTGGAATTCGCCATGGCCAAGAACAACCCCTTCCTGCAAAGAGCATAAGGTAGACAGGTGAAATAAATAATTATGAAAAGAACAAAGGTAAACATGAAGGTCCCAAGAAAAAAACTTGCATTGACGTGTTCACAAACCGTGAGACAATATTCTCTCCATTCAGCAGAAGATATCAGAAAATCATGCATCAAACCTACTCTTACGTAGCATATAATGATCCAAACATAAAAACATCCATATCCACCCAAAATACTCGTCAAAAGGACCTGCCCAATGCGTCATATTCAAATCAAGTTCAAAAATGTTCACTGTTGTTAAAGTTCTGTAGCAAAGTCCAAATTAAAAAGAAAAAAGAAAAAAAGTGCTTTCACCAGGAAGATATGGTGTAAACCCTTAATCGCATGGCCCAACCTTTGAATAAATTAGAAAACAAAGCAAAAAGAAGGATTTATCCCCCCCAAATGCTTATTATCTGCATCGAAATTGCCAAAGACGACACTCTTTACAGGAAACAGATCAAAAACAATCCTCAAAAAACCTCTAAGAACATCTAATCGTCGCCTTAAACGACACTCTTCAATTCCTTCAACAAAACTCAAAAATGCAAAGCGAAATCTCACGAATGAACCTATAACAATGATTCTAGCACTACTTACAGCTTCTTTTCCGAATCCTACAATAAAATGTGCTCCAAATAATCAACACAATAAATGAATAAAACATCACGTAAGCTAAGCTAAGCTATAGAATAGTGAAAATCCAAACACCGAAAAAACTTCGATTCTTTTGAACTTTCCATGCTTCCTCAACAACAGATTCGTTTCTGAAGTTCAGAAAATTAAAAAAACAAATAAAATCAAAACAAACAAAAACATTATTTTATGCTGAACTTGTGAGATACAAAAGTACAAAAATCACAACAACAAAATGAAGAGCTTACCGTTTCCAAAATTGAAGAATTCAGATTCGAAATCTAATGTTTATAAATCGGAAGCTAACTATTAGTTAGGGTTTTTTTGTGGTTTATTTTTCGATTTTTTTTAATAACGAAGGCCTCTTCTCTCATCCCCTGTACTTTATTTCTATTTTTCCCTCCTCTCTGCGTTGTAAGTGGGGAATCAGAGACTGGAATTAACAAATAAAATCTGACAAATACTTTTACGTTTGTATCCCTTTAAAATACTAATATTACTACAAACCCTCGCCTATTCTTTTATCAACTTAGGGTTATTTGTTTATTTTAGAATAATTTAGCGTTAAATGATTTAAATACTGAATGATTCAAATACTGAATAATTCAGATGCTTTATATGAATTAGCTCTGACTGTGACATGTTGTTTGATAATGATTTTGAATCATTGAAAATGTACTTTGATGTTGAATCATTCAACATTGTTTTGTTGAATCAGTCAGCACTGAATCATTCAGATGTACGAAACAAACTCGCTAAATGCTAAACAGTTCAACATTCATCGCTAAATGGTTTCATTTAGAGCCAAACAAACAACCTCTTAGACTCGAAAATGTATATATTCTATCTGAACTCAACTAGATCCGAAAATAATATATTCTTCATCTAACTCTTTCATGATATGAATTTTTAGAGTATAAACTTGACCCGACCCAAACCGGTATAAAATAAAAAATTAAATTAAAATAATAATAATTTTTTTATAGAAATTATATTATTAACCATGGATCGGATCGGATCGGGTCGAAATTTTTTCACCTTCCACCCAAATCCGACCCAACCCAACCTCACCCCCTTAAGAAGTCGGACCCGACCCACATTTTATTTAAAAAAATCGACTCTAACAATTAAGATCCAATCGAAACCAGTCGAGTTCATGTTAAATTTTCATCCCTAAATGGAAGTGAATAAAGTGGTTGGATTTTTTTGCTTAGGAATGAGTTGGGAAGTGAGTTGATCACACGTAAAGTGGACGGGAAATGCGGTGCAAATCAAGCTGTTGCTTTAAAAATCAATAATAATATGAGTTAGTATTATTAAGGTTCAATTATATCAATGAGAGATGAAGAAAAGTGCTCAAAAAAAATAGATTAAGGAGAGATGAAGAAAGCCAACCAAACTCCACACAAAGCGACAACCTCTTTTTGTATATTACATTGGAAAATTTCGTCTTTATTTGAGTATAATTCATTATAATAGAATGATATTGATACTATATTCTATCTTTATTAAAGCACAAATCAACTTACGTTAATGATTAAAAGAATTATTGTTATTTCTTGAGGTCATGGGTTGGAGCATCGATAACTATAACAAGAAGATTTATCGTTCATTAACAAATGATTGAGAGTATTTTCTGTTCCATTCGACTCGGGTTTAAGAGAGTTTCACCCAAATCAAAATTCGATTGGGTTTTTAGACTAAAAATTCATATCTGACTAAACTCAACACATAAATATAAAATAAGAACCTAAAAAATATAAAAAAAATGTATTATAACAATTATCTCTAATATATAAAGATTAATATGTTATTATTATTCTTGGATCGAATAAGATAATTTCACCATAAACTAAACTAGATCAGACTCTATCTTCACCTTCATAAAAACCCGACTGATCTGGCCCAAATCTTTTTTTAAATGACCCTATAAGTTTGGGTCAAAACCCCATTAAATTTGGGTCAAATACTCATCCCTAAATAGGATAACCTACCTATTTGGTTATTCACATATTCTCACATTTATGTTTTAGTTACCTTTTTTTTAAATTATATCTAATATTACATTTTACTTATATTTTGGTCCCTCATTATTGGGTTTAATTGTTGAGTTAACGAAAATGATAATAAAATATAGTATAATATCAATTTTAATCCTTAAAATTTACTCATTTCATAAATTGATTATAATTTGAAATAATATACTTATTGCAACTATTAGTCATCCATTATAGTAAACTTGATCAGAATAGAATGTGACCTAAACACTATTCACATGAACGACCATAGGAATCGACTAAATACATCTACCATACTTTGCTCGTCGGTATTGATGATTAATGCATGCTTTTATCACACATTATTTACATTTTACATAAACTGACATTATTTTCACAGATCACATGCTACCGATCGAGGTCGCATACCATGGCCCGTGGACGCGGATAGACACCATTGCGGCAACCACCAACACCTCGGCTTCTTTCACGACCCGTTTTGTTAGGGAGCCAGCCCCGACTCGACGTAGTTCCATTTCTGCTAACTGTCTACCGTGGGTACCGCTCCCCCCCCCCCCCCCCCGAGCACAATCCCTCTAAAAGCTAAACAAACAGCACGGGATACCCCTTCGAATACTGCATCCCTGGCTTGCAAGCTCTTTGCTAGCATCCTCGCCATGGTAGCCTTCCTCGTTTGAAGGATCTTGTCATCTGTTACTTTGTCATCATCTTCTCTTGAGATGCCACTGATTGTTTCGACAATCCCTTCAATCCCTGCATCTTCCACACGGTCTAAGAACTCGAAAAGCCTTTCGGCACAATTTGATGTTATTCTTTCCATGTCAGCTGAGCTATATATTACTTTCTCGCTCAAGAGGATTTGCCTAAAAATAAGAATGCTGCATATGGAAAAAATGAAGGGCAGACGGGTCTGATACGATTTTGCAAGATTAACATCTAAAGAAATGAAGGGCAGGGCATACATGCAAAGATACCTTGTGGATATTACAATGATCTTCTGAATCTCAGCCTGGACATCCCTCAATCTCGAGAAGTTAAGCGTGAAGGATTCGGGCAAAGCATCTGGTGTTAGACCAGAAACTTCGCTTACTAACGTTAGCAAACCGAGCCTAACCAGAACATCAACTCTCTCTCCCTTGCATTCTGGCTGTTCATGACCTGACCAATGAACATAAGAATCATTGCGAAACGAAGATCGGAGTCGTCGCCGTCGATATTCAAAAAATTTAAATAGTCTCACATTCAAACCTGTAAAATTATAAGCATTGGGGTCAACAGGTGTCATTAGGCTTGTATTTCCAGAATTATAGTTTCCACCAGTTTTATGCGTGATGGAAGTAAGAGGACTGCCGTTTGCCTTCAAAGTTGAAAGAGAATTTTGGTGTTCCCTCCACTCTTGATCTTTGCAGTTCCAGATCGACGAAAGCCACCAGATGGTCAATGGTAAAGATGAGTTAGCATCAGAAGGCGACCCATAGCGGTTAGCAAAACCTTCCGCAAGGTAATTCAAAGCAGCGGGTCCCTTTAATAATGGCTCCATCATCCTTATACGAGCTTTGCTTATCTCTAGCTTAAGAACCTGTCCAGAAAATGCATATTAAGATACTAGAAAAGACCTTCCTCATAAACATATGGTTCAGTTCCTTTGAAACAGGTGATACAATGAAGAATCCATTCAATCAAGAAGAAAAAGAAATGGAGATCGAACACACCTGAATCTGCTCTAGGGCAAAACGTAGACCATTGACCATTGCAAGGGCAGTAGAATTATCTGAGTTCCCTCTGGCTTCACAGATCTCAGCTAACTCTTTCAATAAACTATGGTTAGCAGCCTCGATTTCACCATCACTGGCTGGAGAGGAGAGCTTCTGTAAAGTGCTCAATGGAAATTCCAGAACCCTTCGTAGATATGGAATGTCCAGTTTGCCTGACTTCAACACCTTAGAGAGGGAAAAATAAAAATAAATTAAAATACAATTTAAAAGATGATAATGCTAATATGGAAATTGTAAAGGAATTCTAGTACCTGGGAGAGTATTTCCAGATCAATAGCATCAGTTATTTCTTCTCTCCAACTGCGAGGAGCCAACTCACAAATTTCATCCCTCACTTCCCTCGGAAGGTCAATAACTCGGTCAAGATCAGGCTCATCCTGTTGCATGGATTCCGTGATCCTATCCCAGAAATCCTTCTCCATCATTTCTCTCCCCTTCGCCTGCAAAACAAATATTAAGCTTGCAAAAGTGCCAAAAGATCATTCTGAATGTCTGCTTTTTCTACCACAGACTAATTAATGATAAATGCATACACCTTTATGCTGTTTTTATCTTCATCAATGGCACTGAAGTTATCAACAAAACCACATTGTCCATGAAGAAATTCATTAACAATCAATTCATTCTCCGTGACTATAGGCTTTTCAACAGAAGAACCCAACTGTGCATCTGAATGGCTGCTGCTACTAGACACAAGGGAAACACAATTTTTGGAAGGGGATGTACCATTTTCTTTAAACAGAGAAAGGACAAAACGGTTTGGTGTCTGAGTCAGAACACTTCTATCATCCTTTTGTGCAGTTGAAGATCTAGGGGAACCATGGGTATTTGGAGATATGAAGGACATAAGCGGTGATCCCATTGGGCTCCCACTTTCCTCTGCTTGAAAAAAAAATTGTCCGAGTTTCAGATAGTGCACATTCCATTCTTTCAATCCCAGCATCTCCACTCAAATGTTGGACTTTCTCTCTTAAAAGTTTTTGATCTTCCACAACCTGCACCATAAGAAAACTCAATTAGTATCTCTGCAACACAAAGTAAGGTATAACTAAACTTCTGAATCATTAAGCTGCAAGCTTTTTTACATATTGTAGTCAAACTGATTGACCGTATTCATAAATACGTAGTGATTTTCCAAGAATGAGACAAAACGTGAGACCTGTCTTTGAATAGCCACCATATCATGAGTGAGAGCAGTATTAACTCCTTCTGGAGTCATCTTGCACTTTTGAATCATAGAGATCTCAAGCTGGCATGCCGCTCTTACCAAGTCCTCTTCCAATAACTGATCATCCTTAACCTTCCACACCCCAAAGCAATTCAGGTAGGAACACCAGAATTTGTCAAATGCTGTGAGCTGTGAGCTGTGACCCAAAGGTCAAATGTCTGGGCAATGCACATCGAGATTCTTTATCAGAATTCTGTATGAGACCCTCTAAAATAATTCTTATCAACAACTCAAATTCTTGAACAAATTCTTCTGCAGACTTGGCCAAAGCAACCTCTCTCTCCCCCTGACCACTTAAAACCGCATCAGGGTGGCCCAATATCATGTATGCACAGAGAACGATTCTGACGGGATATCTTGATAATTTAGCAAGACTTTTGGCGGTCTCCCTCACTGAGGCAACTCTCTTACCCTCTCTGCTTCTCATAGAAGTCCTGGGAGTGGTCTTTCTCTTTGGAGTAGCAACTCTGTTGAGAAGATGATCAATGTTATCCAAACTGGATAGATGATTGGCAGCACCACCAACCCTAGAGGCCTTAACATGGCTCTCAATATGATCAAGCAAAGCTTTCACAGTTTGAAGGGTAGCCACTGATTCAATCAGAAGGGCAAGCTGCTCAAATGGCATCGAATTAACAGACTTCTCATTGATTTTCAAGGAATAAAAGGCTTTTGCCAAGTCTAAAGCAGTTTTCCTCTGCCTTAGGAAGCACCTCCAGCACCTGAATAATACAAAAGTATTACACACCTTTCAGGTATTCACCAAAATGTGTCATTTCCTATAATAATATTTTCTACCACTCCAAATAATATCCTTTAATGACCCTTTGCAGATATCAGTAGATAATAAACGATCCTATCAATAGGAAAAATGCTAGTCTTATACCTTGCTAGTTTTCTAGAAAGCAAGTCAGCTTGCTTGTGCATCCCCCTATAATTCACTTGAACAGATTTATGTGTCCTTCCTCTCTGCCTCAAGTACTCTGCTCTTTGTCTCCTTGCCTTTTTATCAATAAATTAATAAGAAAAATATAATATAATAAAATATAAAGGAAAAAAAAGCACATTGCACTTGAAGACATAGGAATCATACTACAGAAATTTTATAAGACACGCATACCTTTTGCAGTTTGTCTTCCAACTGGTCTCTCATTCTCCTCCTCTCAACCTCACGTTAATGTGTAGCAAGTTGCTACACCAGAGTACAAAGCCTATATGCACCAAGTGAAGAAAAATGCTCAGGCTTTAGCATCTTCATTGTTGAAAAGAAAATGCAAGCTAATTACTGGAGGCACAGACAATCATTTGTTACTCTTGGATCTAAAACCTTTTGGGTTGACAGGTAGAATGCTTTGTTGGCAATCTTCTTTGCATTCAAATAATTGTTAGTGTATGATATGAAGTTGAACCTATATGTGTTTTGCATTCAAATATACTGTGTCTTTTGCTAATGTTAACTGTCTTGGTTCAATTAACTGAGGGATTAGTTATCATGCTTCTGGTAATTTGTGCTTGCAGGGGAAGTTTTAATGGCCTGTTAGAGATTACTGTATCAGTATGGGATGTGTTAACTAATTTGATTACCTCTTTCTTTCTTTCCCTCTATTTGATGGTTTCCTTTTGGGGATGGACAGCTGTTTGCTGTTGTCTAGCGACCCAAAGTAAAAAGTTAATACTCAACTTTAGTCCGGAATGTATTTTATTGCCTCTCCCTAAGTCTTGCATATATGTATGTGTGCATGTAGAACCTTGTTACAATTTCGTTACGTCTTGTGATTGGAGTACGATTGCCAAATACCGAAAGTGTTCAAGTTATAAAAGGAATTCAAATTTCAAAATCAGTTCTACTTTCTGCTTCTGCCTCTGTTACACGCATGTAACTTGCACATTTTCATTTGTTCCTGTAGTTTTATCAGTTGGCAGCATGTCGTGCTGGAATTCTCTGTTGCTTGCTGGAAATTTGTTTACATATCCCTACTCTCTTCCATGTCCGAGCATGTCTAATCTTCTCGTTTTCCTTTTGTAGGTAAAGTTTACGAGAAGGTGTGCGAGATGTGCCATGTTACTCTGAACAAAATTGCTATTTTTGGCGAGAATGGTGTTAGTACTCCTGGTGGAGTAAGGATTGGTGAGTGTAGTTCTCATTCAATTAAAGCTTGTAAGTCTCTTTACCTTTTATAGGAGATGTTTAGGTTCATATTATCATGATTTGGCATGTTTATTTCTGCAGGTACTCCCGCCATGACATCGACAGGTTGCCTAGAGTCTGATTTTGATACAATCACGAACTTTCTCCTCAGAGCTGCACATATCGCTAGCACGATGCAGTATGACCATAAGCTGCAGAAGACCTCCGTGAAGAGCCTCCTCAAAAATAAGGATCTTTTGGAGCTCCGATCGCAAAAGCCTCAACTTGCGATGCCGGGCTTTGACATTTTAATGAATTGTTAAGGTGCCTTCATACCGAGCGATTAAAATTCCAATTACTCTGCAGAGGAGGAACTGTGGGGGAAGGTTATTTTTCCTGTAACCAGCTTACACCATCATTTTTTCCCCCTATAACGATGCGTCGAAACATTGCCACAGTTTTGATAATGAAGGTGCTGATTTTTTTTTTCCAATTAATCTTTGGATTGAATTAAAGATCATTATCACGTTTGGTCAAGTTGTGAAGAACTGGTCCTTTTTTAAACAAAAGGTTTAGGTTTTGGATTCCAGTTTTGTGGATGAACACGTATAATGATCAAAGGTCTTTTCAAGCAACTCTTATAACATATGGTGGACCATTGGTTATTCAACAATGAAGAGCTTATCATTATCTCTAATCACTTCAATGCAATCGATTTCAGCCCCGGCTTCATCCGTAATAACCGCACTTTTCATGTTGATCCCGAATTTTTCGCCTGAAGAAATGAGTCAAGTTAATTGCTTTACAAGTAAGCGGTATCGTAGATGACAAGTTTCATTTGAGCTCTAGTTTTCAAACCTGCAATGTCCTTGAGCTCTTCAAATGAATCTGGCAAACTTATTAGCTTCCCAGGCTCCATACAACATGTTTCTTTCCTCATCAGTGAGTGACCTTTATAAATGCCCACCCTTGGACGTTCTAGTAGTCTGTTTTTCTCTAGTTTCCCTATAGGCTCCCCTTCGAGTTTCTCCAGTAGTACTTCACTGGAAGTTGTCTCGGTTACCGTAATCCGGTGTCCGATCTCTCTCTTTAGCAGCATTTCATTCAACGATTCCGAAGAAAATTCGTATGTGTTTGCATTGATGACATCTGCGCCATTCATCACAAGTAGGTTAACCATGTCTTCATGTTTCTCTTTCATGGCGATTTGTAATGCCGTTAGTCCATGGTGATCCTTTGCATCCACGTCCAATCCGTGTTTCAGTAGTTCTTGCATCGCTGCTTGATCATTTCTTTTCGCAGCCATGCATAAGAGGTCACCGGCAGTGAAGGGGTCGGAAATCGCAGCACAATGATACAGGATCCTAAATATAGAACGGTGCTTCGTGGATATCGCGTCCCATAGTGCGGTGTTGCCATCTATATCTGTCACATATACAGATAACGAGATGCGACGTAAGAACTCTATTGATTCTCGGATCAACGGTGTTAACATCGTTTCTTACCTCGTAAATGTACATTGCAAGCATGCTTGAGGAGTACCAGCACACAATCTTCATGCCCTCTTGACGCTGCTATGTGCTGAGGAATCACACAAAGACTAATGCATGAACTTTCTTCGAAACATGTTGACCGGAAAGGTGAACAAGAAAGAAGCTTACCAAGGGTGTTCTTCCTTTAGAATCTCCAATGTCAGGGTCCAACCTTGCTTTGAGAAGCTCATCGAGGAAAGCAGCATTGCCGATATCGGCCACGTTCAGCAAATTAATACCGATGTCTTTTGGATCACCGTCTTCGTCTCCACCCTCCACTACTAAGCCTCCGATTTTAAGATCCTCTAGCCTTTTGTTATGCTGCAATACATCACAGGTTCAATCTTTTATTCCGTTGCTAGATTTTTTGAACGAGCACTCCGAAAGCGGATACATTACACTTTTGACATACCTGAAGGAAGTTTTTAAGGACAGCAACATTATCTTCTTGTTTGATCTGCATCGATTCAATCAGATCGGTTGTTCCGAGCTTCAGTAGTTGAGAAAGCGTCCTAGTTCGGAACGTAAACCTTTGAGGTCTGCAACAAAGCGCACCGATTTCTCCGAACATATCCCCGGAATGCAGCATTCCAACGACTCTCTCTTTCTCCATCTCATAGTCAATGATTTCTACTTCTCCAGACACAATGATGTAAACATCATCTGGTGCTTCATTCTGCATTATCACATCCTCTCTCGGCGGAATGTATTCGGCTTTCATCTTCGCGACCTGAACATTATATCGAACACGCCGACATTAACTTCCGTATGCTATAAGCAAATAATATCCATTACCAAGCATAGTATGCACACCATACGCAGCAGAATTTCCCTTGATATGCCGTTGAAAAGGTACACTTTCTCCACTGTTGGCAAGAACAGATGCTGGCAAATTCCTGTATAGATCGATTTCGGCAACTGTTCGATGAGTTGTTGCTGGTTCAAGCTCTCAGCCTTGAACCTCAAACACATGTAAGCCAGTATCTGCTCTTTCAACCTTGGGGGCAGCCGGTTTCTCGACACGAAATTCGAAGCCGCTTCGATACTATTCCTCTGCATCATCAACAGGGCAATTCAAGTGAATGTGGTACTGATACAATGTGAATTGTTCAAACACTGGTGAGTACTTACGAATTCCATGGTCCGACGAGTTCCTTCGACGACTAAGTTGGTCATGTTACCGATTATATAAGCGGTCAAGCCGACGTTGAAGAGCATGTAGAAGATTATGAAGATCATTTCCACAGTGTTGACTGCATGGAGGTCACCATAACCAACAGTGGTCATGGTGGTGATGGACCAATATAAAGCCAAGATATATCGGATCGAAAGGCTCGTTTCCCGGAAATTCGGGTTCACCGACCCTAACCATGTTTTCCCCCGGTGTGGGTACCGGTCAGCTAGCAGGTAGTAAAGGCATCCAGCATAATGAACCAGAAATAATGTCACCTGGAGTAGTGTATCCAAAACGAATGTAATCAACTTAAATCTTCTCACTTGCCTAGATTCTAAATTGATCTCTGAACTTGAAAATATTCTGATTAAGTCCTCAAAATATCAGTTTTTATCAATCAAGTCACTCCGTCAGTCTAACCATTAAATATTAAAACACGAGAATTAAATTATAAACACGTGTGCCTACACAAGTGGTAATCAAATTTACAGGTGCACTTTTCAAAAAAAAATCGAGGATTATTATTTTCTTAAACACAAGGATTCAAACTGTTAATGCAATAAGTTTACATGTATTTATAATTTGGTCCACCTATTTTAAAAATGCTCAACGTTAGACTCGGATGAGTATTTAACCCAAAAGTTATAGACTGATATAAGAACTAATTGATTGATACAACACAAATAATTCAAGGACCACATTATATAGTTTGAAGTTTGAGGACTAAATAAAAATTTAGATATAGTTTGAGGATGTATGGTGAATTAATCCATTTAAACTTCCATGAAAGAATCTACACGCAAACTTCACTCACAGCTATTAATCTAGCACAACGGATCCAGAAATAGCTGAATCTAATATCCTTCTCCAACCTAGAAAGAAAAAAAATAGTAAGATTAAAGGGAAAGTAATTACATTTAAATATAGGATAAAGTACACAAATAGTCCTCCGACTATAGAGTGATGTTTTATTGAGTCCTCTAACTAATAAAAGTACAAAATAGTCTTCGACTATAAGACGTTGCTTTTTTAAGTCCCTTGACTATTAACATATACAAAATGGTCAGTCGACTATTCATTGTGTTCCGAACTCATCATTTTCCTTTAAAAAATGATGATGGTTTAAGTTAGACGTTAATCTACTGACTGAGATATAAACTCAGAATCTCAAACGACTATAATATTACAGTCAACAAGTTAACGTCCAACTCAAACTACCATCAAATTTTTTAACGGAAAATGATGAATTTGGAACCCAATGAATAGTCAAGTGACCATTTTATAACTTTTAAAAGTTGAGGAACTTAAAAAATAAGCAACGTCCTACAGTCAGGGGATCATTTTGTAACTTTTAATAGTCAGATGACTTAATAAAATAATAATCTATAATCGATGAGCCATTTTTGTATTTTACCTTTAAATATATTCGAATTTAATTCGATCGGATAATTCAATTAAAACTCGGACAGACGAAAACCAAAAAGAGAGAAAAGTTGAGGGTAAACCTGGTGAAAAGCTGTTTGACACGCCGGAGACGCCAAAATCTGAGCAATCCCAGGAGTGAATAACAGATTCCAACATTGGTTTTGCCAGAGAACAAATAGCCCAGTGCTTCGAATGGGAGTGTCGATGCCACGTCCATCAGGAACCACGTTGACAGGTACCTATCCATATTACCACATCGAATAGAATAATCCCTTATCCCTCTCAATTCAATTCCCTTTATTCTCAACATATTCCACCACCATTAATATTGTGTATCAATTTTTTTAAAAATAAATTTTGATATTAATTTGAATTTTTTTAAGAAGATAGAAAATCAGATACCATTTTTTAAATATTTAAATATATATATTTATAATTAAATTAATTATTATTTAAATAAAATATATAGTTGTAAGATAGAGTAGAATAATTATAGCAGCTGGTCCACTCTCCTATCCCGAATCAAACCTAGAGATTTTACTAACGTTTTTGTCCTTGAATATTACAACTCAGAATCACTATATATATATATATGGATAAATTACAAATTTGGTAACTGAATTTTATTTTCTCTTCTATTTCACTCACTACACTTTAAATCTTTTCAATTTCTTCACTGAACTTAATACATTGGGTTTCTTGATCACTCGACCGTTAAATAGTTAACGCGTTAAAATGAGCAGTTAGATAGATGCAAATGACTTTGTTTTGGTGAAAATTTTATTTTTTTAAAAACATAATCATTTTTAATGTTGTTAACTATTTAACGATGGAGTAACCAAAATGTGTGAGAGAGAGAGAAATTAAAGATTGACTTTACCAAATGGGGCTTATTAATGACTGTCAATGTCTATTATGCGATGATCCTAGTTAAACAAGGGAGCATTTGTTCCTCCAATGCCCTATGGTTGATCAGTTATGGAATGTTGTTTTTTCCCACTCTGGACTGCAATTTAAAATTCACTCTTGGGATGCTCTTATTGTGTGGGCAAGCTCTACTTGGAAAGGAAAATCTTTACTAACTTCGATCATGAAACTCACACTTATTGCTCTTATCTATATTCTTTGGGATGAACGAAACAAACGACTGTTTCAAGGTCGATCCAGGAATTCTCAAGATCTTTTTCATGCCATAAAGGATATAGTTAGATTGCAATTAAGGGATTGAAATTTAAATAGGAATGATAGTGTTAATATTACTCTACGTGAGCATTGGGATATATTATGATCCGATTCTTTTTGTAAGTAGGCTGATCTTTGTATCAAAACACTGATGTTTTTTGTAGCAGGTTCTTTTCTTGGGTAATAAAATTTGAATTATCCAAAAAAAAATCAACGACAAAAAATTCTATTATATTAAATTTAATGAAGAAATTAGAAAATTTTAAAGTTCAGTGACCAAATTAATAGAGAGCGTAAAGTTTAGTTAAAAGTTTGTAATTTACCTTATATATATACACACATTTGTTCTTAATTAGGGACCCTACCTTGTCTGAAACCAACCATTTATCTTTCATTATAACATCATTTACAATGAACCAGAAAGCTCATTGAATATATATTCAAAATGTTTTTTCTTAATATATTTATTTGGAAGATCATTATTCAATATATTAATATGTTAAAATAAAATTTATTTCTAAACATTTTAATTAAATTTTATAATATTAATAATATATTAATCATTTTTTCGATCAATTAATATTATATTAAAATTTAAAGTGTCCAACTAAAATGAAACGTTGAGATGAGACAGAATTTGGGTGGGCAAAGTCTTTGATTGATATTAAATTAATAGGTAAAATATATAAACGATTCTTTGATTATAAAATATTATTTTATTGAGTCTTTTAATTATTAAAAGTTATAAAATGAACTATAGAGTTATTTTATTGAGTCAATTGACTATTAAAAGTTACAAATGATCACTCGATTATTTATTATGTTCCAAACTCGTCCTTTCTCTTTAAAAAATTAACGGTCGTCTGAGTTTGACGTTAATATACTAACTGAGTTATAATAATCGTTTGAGATTATGAGATTAAATTTTATCATATAACAATATACGATTAATGTACAACTCAGATTGTCGTCAATTTTTTAACAGAAAATGACGATTTTACAACATAATGAATAATCGGGTGATCATATTGTAGCTTTTAATAGTCAAATTATTTTGTAACTTTTAATAGTCGGAATTTAATAAAACAATATCTTCTAGTCGGGAACTAAATACCTGATGGCAATCTTAGAGGAGTCTCGAACAAGCAGCTGGGTTCTGGAATCAATGTAAGCAACGAAGAAGGTCAAGACGATGTCGACGGCGAAGAACAGGTCCACGATGTTGTCGGCAATGTACAGATCTCTAGGCGTTGATGAACTGAAGAACGCCACTTCGAATGGGTATACCCATGCCGAGTAAAATACCAACATCACCATAAATGTTTCCCAGCACCTGTATACATGCGTACGTACACACGCTCATACACATCACTCGTTAGTTTCTCGAAATTCTCCGATACTCGACGGTTAATTCAGTTCGATTATCAAATTAGTTCGGTCGATTAACGATTAAGAAAATTTTTAGAATTCGGATAATGGTTAATTCGATTCTAAATCGGTTAATTAACCGAATTAACCGAAATTAAATTTTAAATATTAAATATATTATATATAATATATGGACCTAGCCCAAACCATTTAAAACTTAATTAATATTATAAGATCCAATAACTTTTAAACCTAAATCAATATTAATTAATTAAAAAATGTATATAAAATTTTTATTTTATAATTATATATTATTTAAATTAATTGTAAATTGTTTTTTAAATTAAAATATATTAAATATATTATATATAACATATAAGCTCAGTCCAAACCATTTAAAACCCAATTAATAATTTAAGATCCAATAACTTTTAAACCTAAATCAATATTAATTAATTAAAAAATTTATCTGAAATTTTTATTTTATAATTATATATTATTTAAATTAATTATAAACTTTTTTTGAATTAAAAAACATTTAAATTTTATATAAATTAGAAAATTTTAAAAATTTTCGGTTAATTCAAAAATTAACCGAAATTTATTCGGTTCGGTTAATATTTTCGGAAAAAAGTTTGGTTCGGTTAAAGAAAAAAAAAATTCGGTTAATTCGATTATGGTTAATTCGGTTCGGTTTTAACCGAATGAACAACCCTACTCGACAGTCATATCATATTCATATTATTAATTCGAGCCGAGTTGAATCTTTAAACGAAATCTCAACTCTTTTAACGTCGTTTTTCCACCTATATACATAGATTATGTCCAGAATTCTAATTTAGGTGAGACAGATAAAAATTAAAATTTTAGGGTTAATGTTAAATATCTTAAATTGAATTAATAATTTTTTATAGGGACCAAAAGTAAAAGTTTTCCATTAGTTAAAGAGTTAATAGGGACTAAGTTGAATTAACTAGTTTTTAAGATAATAAAATAATTGTTTTACCATTAGCCGAGAGACTAATGTCTTACTAATAAAGATTTGTCTATGTTCACAAAATTCAAACTCAAGAATTTACCTAAGGACAACAAACACGCTGCAAATAGTAATACTCGACAAAAATGAAATGGTAATTCTAATTATCATGGTGTACAATACTAAAAAATTATTGAGTAAATTATACGTTTAGTAATTAAACTATCGGTTTTGATCTGTTTTGATACCTAAACTTTTATTTTTTTAAAATCATAACTAAAATTTAGTTTTGTTTCATTTTAGTACATATGTTCAGAATTTAATGTTAAACTTTGAGGAAAAAATTGAAAGTTTAGATACTAAAATGGGTCAAAATAGATAGTTTAAGTACTAAACACGTTAAGTTTTTAACGGTTGTGGGACTAAAATGAAATAAAAACTGGACGTTATGTATGGTTTTGAAAAAAATAAAAGTTAAAGTACTAAAACTGATAGTTTATTTATTAAATATGTAGTTTACCCCGAATTATTTTATTATGAAACATTAATTGGTACAACAATTGAGATGCTATATCTTTTATGTTAAGAGTTCAAATCTTCCTAGTATGAATAGAGAAAATTAGGTTAGAAATATCGCTCTCATAATAAGTCTTTGCATTAATCTAGATTAATCAAGGCTTAATACCAAAACTATATTCTTTTTCTCGAATAGGTGTCAAAATTATTTTTTGACTCATCCCGACGTCTATCGTTTTTTCGTTATCATATTAGGTATCGGGCGTTATCTGCCGATAAAAATTCATGTTAAATGTCACATGTCACATTTTGATAATTTTTATATTTAATTATTTAAATTTATCACTTTAGTCTTTTTCCCCCTTTTTTTTACATAAATTTCCCAAAAAAGTATATTTGTGTACATGAAAAAGTGAGAATAATTGACATGGGTTGGTGGAATATTACCAAAAGTTATTTAAGTAATGAACAGGTAGATGCTTCTCTTCAACCAAGTTCATCTGTTTTGAAAATCGGATTAGATCGGTCGATTCAACCGGTTCAATCGAGAATCGTTGTTTAGTCTGGTTCAATCTAAATCGGTTGAACCGCTATTAGTAAACCGGCCAGAACCACTGAACCGTTCGAACCGGACTAGCTGAAAACCGGAAAAAACTGGGAAAAATCGAGATTTTTGTTTTTAAAAAAAAATTAAACCAAACAACGTCGTTTGTTAAACAAGCCAAGTTGAACTCGAGTATTGCTGAGCTCGACTCGAACTTGAAAACTTTAAAAGTAAGCTCAACTCAACTCAAACTCACAAGCTAAAAATTATCAAGTTCAACTCAAACTCGAAATATAATATTGAAACTTGAACTCAAAAAAAATTAGAAGCTCGATTGAAGCCTAAAATTCGAGCTTGATTGAAGTGAAAGAATAGTTCACTCAATGCTCACCAAAAGACTCCATGATTTTGAATGTCAAATTACCTATATTATTTATAGAAGTTAGTTGTGATGCGCTTCTATGTTTCTTAGCAATGTGAGATTATTTTGTTCTCATATTTTTACTCTTTAGACTTTTGGGATGCTCTTCTATGTTTCTTAGACATGTGGGATTGTTTTTAAAAAAAAAATTAAACCAAACAATATCATTTTTTTATGATTTTTTTAACCCCAAATTTATTTTTTAATTATAGTTATATAATTATATTTATTATTTAATATGTTTTACCTTAAATATTATGTTGTAGTTAATTTGAATCATTTTGTTTCACTTGATTTTATGGTTTTTAACTTATATATGTTATGACTTGCTTTGAATATGACTTGTGATATAAAAAATTATTTTTTATTAAATATTTTTGGTATTTTTATTTAATTTTTTAAATAATTATGACGTCGTCCGGTTCTTCCGACCGGTCGGATCGGTTCGACCTGTTGAACCAGTGAACCGATAGCATGACCGGTTCGCTAACCGGTCCGGTTCTGAAAACCATACCAAGTTCAACTAAGAAAAAATAGGAATAAAGTTAACTTATTTTAAGTAAAATTTCAAGTTCGAATCGAGATTCGAAAACACCACTATAGGCATAATCGAGATTCATATGATTAATAATAACACCAAAACATGAAAATGTGCATGGTTGTGCAAACAGAAGTAGAACAAAATCAAGTTTTTTCCAGAAAATGTTCATCTTCGTGAAGCGTACCTGTATCTGGAGTCCATGGGAGAGATGATCCATCCTTTGGAGTTGATCTGATTCTTGGTATAGCTCGAAACGCCCAAAGGAGGGATTATGAGCTTCGACAAGCTGCTCAAACTAAGAGACGATTCTTCACAGATATCATCAGCTTCCTCTTCTTTTAGCAGCTCTACTTTCTTCATGGTGGAAGCTAAGTTCATTGCTTCTTCCATTTCCATCTTTGGGTGGGGTTTTAAAGGGCGAGATGAAGAAGAAGATGATGATGATATTGTTAATGTTATGGGCATGGTATAGTATTCGGTGGTCCTCTCCTATCAAACCGTATGAACGACCTAGATAGATACGATATTTTGAAAAGAAAGGACCAACTACCTATATGAAACACTTGTTTTCGTATTTATGTTTTGATCACTCAATTATTTTTCTATTAAATCATATCCAATGTTACGTTTTGTTTCACGAGATCAACCATATGCTTGGGTTTTTCAACAACTAGTAGGATGGTATAACAATTATTATCCCAATTAAAAACAAGACACACCATTATAACTGTTAATTAAGTATTTTATGGTCAGTGACTAAAATATAAACAAAAGTCTAATATTAGATACAATTATTAACATTTTGTAAAGGGAAGTTAGTGTTATTGAGTGTTGAGTTCTAGACTATATTGTTTCGTTTGGTGTTGTCGTATTCTACAACGAACCTACAAAACGACCTGGTTGAAACTTAATTTGGAGTTTAGGGACTAATTTACAGTTTAAATGATAATTTGGGGACATTTTGTAGAATTAACCCAAATAAAAAAGAAGAAGAGAAGAAAACAGGAGGATGGAGAAGTGACCGTGGGAGAGAATAATGACCTTTAGCAAATGGAAACCATCGGTACAGGGAACGAAATGTGATTTTATATTAGGGGTCGAAATTAAACTTAGGAAATGCACAGATTTGAATATATAAAATTTTAGGAAAGAAGAAAATAAATTTTTAATATAAAATACATAGAAAAAAAATTTAAAATCTAAAATAATTTTAATTTTTTTAAAGAGAATGACTGCCCCTACCCGTCCCTGGTCTATCTTGCACCTGCCCAATATTGATTGATGTAATTGAGGTAAGATAACAAAGAGGGGAATTGAATTGAATTCAACTAATGGGGTTGACAACATTTACGTGTACACGAGGACCATAATAATGTCATTGTCTCCTTTCGAATCTCATGTACATAATGTTAAACAAATGGTCCTATTATTTTGGCATAATCATTGATATTTTCTTTCGAGACATAAATCAATTTATGTCATTGATTAAAGGAATCGTTGTTCTTAGTGGTTACAGGTTCGAACATCAACGATGACAACATGATGATTAAAGGTTTATGGTCAAATGATTTAGAGTATTTAAAACATATACTATTTTGTAATCACCTTAACTTAATATTTACAGTTTCACCCATAATGACTAGTCTTATGTAAAAATATAAGTTAGTGGAATTGGAAGAAAAATAATTATCCTAATGTCTAAAATCAATCACATTGTCGATATGATTTATGTTTGGCTAATTAAAATAAGTAACTCAAGGGAAACTATTTCTAAAAGAGATATGTATTTGATTCGAACAAGTTTTAATTTAATATGGTTTTATAGAATTAATTCTTTTGTCAAAAATTTAGATTTATGTTGAGTTGAGTTTTTAATGAAATGATCATCCAGCTCAGTTGGTAGAGCACAAGGCTTTTATCCTTGGGGTCGTGGGACGAGTCCCACGGAGGGTATTTCATAATTCGGAGGTCTCCTACGGAAGCTGCTCTCAACCTGACGTTGAGGGCAGCCTACTATCGTACCTCCCCTTACCCCATTATATATGGGAATAAGGGTCAGCAATTTTTTTTGAGTTGAGTTTTTAAAAGATAAGATCAAGTTGGGTCGAACTCGAATTTAGGGTGAAAAATATCTAATCCGAGAATAATAATATAATTGATCTTTATATATTTAGGGATAATATCCTTATCTATATATTTTTCAATTAAATATATATATTTCACCTAATAAAAGTAATGTATATATCTATTTGTTGTTAGATTAAAATCCATAATTATGGGCACATATTTTTAATGTATAATGTTATCATAAAATATGACATAAATTAAGAGACCAATTATGTTATAAAGTCATAAAGTATTAGAAGTGTCGTGAAAATAAAAGTGTAGATATCATTAAAGTTGTATTTATAACTTGATGAGGGACAGAGTTACAAGTACATACAATAACTGATTTAAAGGGGTTATAGTCCCTAAGAAATAGACCTTTTATATTTACTTTTATCTCTGCTAGAGAATTTATACGTAAGAGAAATCTATCTTTTTAGAAGATCACAACCAAATAAAAAAGGGGTCATCTTAATAGGGAAAGGAGGGAATTGTCGCAATTGATAAGTGGAACGATGTACATTTAGGGATGGGCATGGGTCGACCTAATCTTTGAGATAAAATCTTAACTCGAATCGATCTGAAATAATATATTTATTAAAAATATTATTTTTATTAATAAAAATAGGAATTTAATTGAAAGAAAATAATACATAGAGGGGTATTATTGTAATTATCTCTAAATATATAAGATAAAATTATAAATTTTTTCGGGTCGATTCGAGTATTTTTCATCCTAAGCCCGGACCCAAACGAACTCGAACATAACCTTAAAAATATCCAACCTAACGAGACCTGAATTTAATTTTTTTAAAATCTGACTCGATCGAGTTGGATCATATCAAAATTCGTTAAGCTCGACTATACAATGCCAAATCAAGTTTAGTCGGCAAGAAATGATAATCAGCCTATAGCCAGCCATACAATTCATTAACTTCATTGTCATAATATTATTATGACACTTATCTGTATAAATCTTTGGCTCCCTCGCACATTAATAAAACCAGATGTCGTAACTCGTAAGGTATTGGGCGATAATAATAATTACGATAAATACTATAAATGATTTATAGTTTATTTTTATTTTTTTAACGATCTTAAATTTATGTAAAACTTAGGTGGCGTTTGGTTCACTGGAATATTTCTGAAGGAATTGAAATCTGTGAATGAATTAGAATCTGTCAGGAATTGGAATCCAATTTCATATTCTGTTTGGTCGACAAGAAAATTGAATTAGAATCAAATTTCATATTCTTTTTGGTTCGCATACATGTCAAATGAATTTGATTTCAGTAATGTAAAATGACAAGATTGCTCTTCTTGTTTTTTTGCTTAATTTTAGTTTGTTTTATAAATTACATATAGCAATATATTAAAAAAATTTAAAAAATATTAAATTTTAATTTTATTGATTGATTATTCATTTTAATAATTTATAAAAATCATGCTAATAAACATCATAAGTTAAAATTATCCTAATTAGGGATGGTCATGTGTCAGGTTGAGTTTTTTGTCCACCCAACCCGACCCGAGAACAAGAGAACCTCCATCCGAGACTCGACCCGACCAAAATAAAGTTTCACCCGACCCTAATATATGAATTAGAAACCCGACCCGACCCAAAATAATAAAATAATTATTTTTATTCAATAAAAACAGTGACTTAATTGAAAAAAATTATATATAGAGGGGTATTATTGTAATTATTCCTAAATATATAAGGTAAATTATATATATTTTCGGGTCGGGTATTTTTCACCCTAAACCCGAACCTGATCCGACCCGAATATCACACTTAAAAAAACTGACCCGACCCGACCAAAATAAAGTTTCACCCGACCCGACCCGAATATATGAATTAGAAACTCGACCCGACCCGAAATAATAAAAAAATATTTTTATTCAATATATAAATAAGTTACCAAAAGATTGATGAGGGTAGTATGGTCAAATTTCAATTCCCTCCAACAATGGAATTGAATTCCATCATAGAATGTATGAAATTCACTTTCCCTCATTTGATGGAAAGTTAAAGTCATGAGGGATTTCAATTCCCTTTGAAAACTTGAACCAAACATGGGAAAGTGATGTAATTGGATTCTAATTCTCCCTAATTCCAATGAATTACTACGAACCAAACGTCACCTTAAAGAATTTTACATTATGTAAGTAAATATAACTCTATTTATAACGTCAATAAATAACATTTCTTTTTTTATTTTAACTTTGATTTATAATGTCAACATAATAGTTTTTCAATTTAATTATGATTTTATCGATAATAAAAAATAATTGTACTATGTTTTTAAATTATGATCTTTATTTTAAATTAGTTCTTAAGTTTTAAAATATTTTATATTAACCCTTAAACTATCAATATCATTTCGTTTTTATCTTTAAGTTAATGTGGCATTAACTCTACGGGTTGAAAAAGTTTAATATATTTTTTAAGGTCTTGAATATTGAACACGTCATCTTTTAAAAAAAAGAAAATAACCTCTGTCAACACACATTTTTCGTCCTACTAGGATTCAAACTCCTAAAAATATGATAGAATTTTAGGATTCAAACTCCTAAAAATAGAATAAAATTTTGCTATGATTCAAACTCCTAAAAATAGGATAGAGTTCTACTATTATTTAAATTCCTAAAGATATGATCCACAAACACTATAAATAGCCATTGTAACTCACGATTGACACACGATTTACACACAAAACATAGAGGAAAGCACGAGAAGATACAAAGGCAAAACTATTGTAAACGATTCGAAAAATAAATAAAAGGTAGTATTTTTTTTACTTTTGATTTGGTCTCTTATATTTACGTTTTAATTATTATTATTTTATTTATTTAATTTTATTTATAAGCACATTTCCCTTGTTACTCATTTTATTTAATTGTTTTGTTATTTTTCTTTTCTTTTTTTTCATGTAATATTTTTTTTACATTTTATGTATTTTCTCTTTTTTATTTTAGTATATATTTTTATTTTTTTAGATTATATATATAAATATATTATTTTTTATTATCAGTTTTATTAATTTATATATATATATATATATATTTACTTTTTTTATTTTTTTATTTTATATATATATTATTTTTACTTTTTTATTATTATTTTATTTTATTTGTTTTATTTCTATATTTTTTTCTTTTTCTTCTTTTTCTTTATTTTTTATATTTATTTTACTTACTATTTTATCTTTGTTTTCTTTAACTTATCTTTTATTTAATTTGTTTTCTCTTTATTTTAATTTAATTAATTAATTTATTTCTTACCTTTTTATCTATTACCTTTTTATCTAACATGGTTTTTT